TAAATTCGCCACACAATGCGCTGAAGTTCTGGAAACGCCCCCGCCCTCCCCCTCCCCGCCGTTGGGCCTCACGCAGTCCCGCACAGCCTGGCAACAGCGCCATGCACCATCATATTGCATGCGATTCGCGCACTTCACGTCCGCCGAACTGGGATACAAGTAGCCTGTTCAGACAAGGGGATGCCAAATTGCGCCCCGATGTACAGACAGTGCAAGTGCAATGTATAAAGCCCGAAAGAAGGTCCAAAGCCTTTGGAGGTCGTGCGGGATGACATGACTACATTTTAGCTTCGCGCTGCATCGGACCGAGCCTTGCATAGCTTCTTCATGGCCATGGGTACCAGTGGCCTAGGCTCTGCATGGCTCTGTATGGCTCTGCAAACACATATGTAGAGGCACGGGCAGGGAGCAGGTGCGAACCGAACCAACACAAAACTTCTTTTGAACTTCTTTTCGCCCCTGACGAGGCCGGGATGGGCCGCTGGTGCAACGACATGGGAGAGAAGGCAACAGTAGAACGGATTTGAGCGTAGTACATCTTCGAGTTGCCCCCGATCTACAGATGCTAGGCAATGCTAGGAGCAGCAGCTAGGCGGTAGTACTCGCTCAAACTCGTTCAGAAAAACCCTTCCCATGGAAGCTGCCGGTATGTTCTCAAGCTGACCATTGCTGTTAAACCGGACGAGAGGCCGATGGCGGGTGACCGTCGAGTCGGGAAAACGAATCGAAAACGCGCAGGACCAAGTCAGAAAACCGAACCGAGTCAGAAAGCGGAGAGGCGTGAGTCGGAAAACCGAGCACACACGAGTCAGAAAAACCAGAGACTGAGTCAGAAAACCACCCTATGCACACAAAGACCTCTACAACGAAACGTATAGGTCCCTGCGCATGTCAAACGTCTCGAGGTTCCGTGATGAGTTCTTGTTTAACCTATCATGCGAGCATTGCGTTTGCAAATGGGAGGGAGGGGGGGGGGCTGTGGCCCCTCCAACCCCCCTGCCAAAAAAAATTGTTCAAACCCATCATGCGAGACCCTAAAAACCCCTAAACCCTAAACCCTACAGTAAAGACCCCGAAACCCTGAGCACCACAAACACCTGAACCATAAACCGTAAAAAAACCTAGGCCCTAAACCCTAAAAACCCCTAACCCCCAAGCCCTAGAAGCCCCTAGACCCTAAACTGCAAAAAACAAACCTGAATCCCAAAAACCCGAAACCCCGAATGCTGAAACCCCCTAAACCCTGAACCCTCAGAACCCCGAAGCCTAAACATGAAATAACACCAAACTTGAAACCTCAACCAACCCTTAAACCCTAATCCCTAAGAAGCAAGGTGTCTAGACCCTAGGCCCTAAAGCGAGAAATCCGTGCACCCGAACAACCTAAACTCGAAACCCCGAAAAAAACCCATAAACCCTAAACCCCAAGAACTCCTGAACCCTAAACCCTACATTCCCGTAAACCCTAAACCTCAATATCCTCGCCTTTGTTCAAGCCGTGCAAGCTTGCTTCAAAAGCACACAGGAGTCCTTGCCGAACTCATCATCCGAGCTTTGTATTTGCAAAATGGGGGGGGAGCAGCGCCCGGCCCCAAACCCCCCGCTTGTTAAGCCGCACAAGCTTTTTTTCAAACCCATCATGCAAGCATTGTGTTTGCAAATGGGGGGGGGGGCTGCCGCCGCCCCCGCATTATGCTTTTTCGACCCGTCATGCGAGCGTTGTGTTTGCAAATGGGAAGGGGGCTGCCCCAACCCCCCCACTTGTTAAGCCGTGCAAGGCATTTTTCCCAGCCCATCATGTTTGCACCCCCCCCCCCCCACCCGCTTTATCCTTTTTCGAAACCATCATGCATGCCTAAAAACCCGAAAGCCCTAAACCCGAAAAACCCTAAACCCTGAAACCCCTAAACCCTCAACCCTAAAACGCCCGAAACTTTAAACCCTAAACCGTACCCCTAAACCCTAAACCCGAAAAAAACCCGAAACCCTGAACCCCAAAAAGCCCCGAAACCCTAAACCCTGAAAAACCCCTAAACCCTAACAACCTGTGAACCCTAAAGCGGAAAAAACAAAAAAAAAACTAAACCCTAAATACTCCTACCCTAAACCCAAAAAAACCTAAGCCCAGGTTGTTTTCGACTCAGGTTTGCTGCATGTGTTTTTTGGGTGGGTCCGGGCTGGTTTCGGCTCAGGTGTTTTCGACTCGGGTAGGCCACGTTCTCGACTCAAATGGCTTGACTCAGGTGTACTTCTCAAAGACTTGACCATGACTCGGCCGATGGCCACTATGGCTGTTGACTGGCTGTTGATATGTCTGATATGTGTCGACGCATCGTCAGCTTTAGCACACCGCAGCTGCACGATGCTGCACGAGTGATCCCATGCTAGTGGAGGACTCAAGATGACTCAAGGCCTAGCTTGGTCACGCTTGGTCTTGCCAACGAATTCGCCGCGAATTCACGCTGCAGAGGGGAACTAAAGAAAGGCCTGGACTTCTGGGGAAGGCTTCTCAGGGAGATCGCTTCGCGCTCTCTCAAGTGCCTTTTGTGTTGGAGTTTTTCCCTTGGAGCTCTCTTTTGGAGAGCTCACAGCTCACAGCTCACAGCTCACAGCTCACAGCTCACAGCTCACAGCTCACAGCTCACAGATGCTCACAGAGAGGTCTCTCTTGGAAGGGCCCTTTTTTGGCTCTCGGAAGGCTCGGACTGCAGCAAAATCCTCCTCCACGGCGCGCCTCGGCCTCGACGGCCTCAACAGCCCTCCCTGACTTCCTCTTCAGCCGTGCCTGCAACGCACAGCAAGAGTCAAAGGAGGCAAAGGAACCCGGCCCGGTGCCTTGTGCATCAAGGGACTCAAAGCCTCCTCGGCTCAACCGCTCCTTCACGGAAAGCACTGCAAAGCACGCTTCGGGCCCATTTGGATTGCGGACTGCTTTCATGTCGCCTTTTAGCAAGGACGCCACATCGATGCCGCTTTAAATGGTGCCGCTTCAAAATTCCGGGTACCCAACAAAACCAGACAAAAACCCAACGCTCCCCCAAAAGAAACAGCGAAAACCCCAGAGAAGCCAAACAAAAAAACAACGAAACCAAAAAAAAAAAAAAAAAAAACTAAAAAACATAACCAAAAGTTTGCACTGTTGTTTAGACACAAGCACCTTGAACTTTTCATACTAGCACACGTCTGACTTCTGGCAAATCAACGAAGCTACATCTCCACACATGTTCCAAAACGTCATCGGTGTTGCGAAAAACCTGCGAAGCTACTTCTCCGCGGCGCTCCTCAGCTTTCCCCAGATCTTAAGTACTTGTCTTAGAGCCAGCCATTCCCACTCATTCCCACTCGGGTTGTATTTGCATGCTTATGCTTTCTGAGACACGCTTGTCTTAATCGTTTTGAGACAAGCAAGTGACTTCTGGCAGAATCAAACATGTTGCATCTCACCTGCACCGAACCTTCATCGGCTATGTCGTGGCAACGTCAAAAGTATGTACATTGTTCCATCACCGCTACCGCTGATGGCAGACACTGTCATCACACAACTATCAGGTTGACAATCAGGTTGGACAGCGTTACTCAGCAAGGGCTCAGCAAAGGGCTGCTGTCGGGGTGCCCATCTGCATTAGAAATTTAGTCATTCATCTCGTTTTCCTTTCAAAGTTCGGTCCTGGAGGACTGTGAAGATTGCTCGACGAACTTGCTCATTGACCTTTGCGACTCACATTGGACTTGGAAGTTAAGACGGCGCCCGGAAAGTTCCCCAATGGCACCCAACAAAATCCGATATCTCCTTGTCTGAGGCTTTCGCGCCCTCGGCTCGTCGGAGGCTCGCCAGGGCGGAGACAGTCCGGAGCTCCACGGCCGGAGACTCCTTGCACAGAGACAGTACCACAAGAGGTGCACCCAAGCATTCACAAGCGGAGGGGGCATGTGGTCGCATGCCTAAGAGACCCAACAGGCCGCACATGGTCTACATTTTACCCCCTGCGGCTTCACTGATTCACAGCCACTCAGACCTCACTAACACAACATGTTTCTGTTTGAGTTCTCGTTGTGTTCGCCCCTTCCCGTGTCCGACTCGAGAACGGCGTGCAGCAGCCCTTGGAGGCATTGCTGGCAGTCGGCAATTCGAACGGCCACCTGCAGGACAACAAAGGCCAGCAACAAGAAGCAAAAGAAATATCGAAACACGTGAAACACGTCACTGTTCAACGCTGTGTCAGCTGCTCTTGAAGGTCTTGTGCCCTCTGAACTCTTGAACTCTCAGCCGCTCTCAGCCGCTCTCAGCCTCGTCGTGGCCCGCCAAGATGGCCAGGGCCCCAGTCGCGGCGATCTGCTGCCGCTCGATCTAAGCCAAATAGAGCAAAAACATGGGAGAAGGTCTGAAGTGGCAAACTCCGGCAAAACCATCACATCTGTCACAACTGTATACATCTGTATACATCTGTATACATCTGTATACATCTGTGCCGGCCTCGGAAGTGCAAAAAGCACCGAAGATCTTCAGCTCGTTCTCAGCCTCAGCCTTGCCCAACGCAAAGCGCTCGGCCACCTGCTGCGGACTCTTATGGACTCTTAAAACAGACTCGCCTGCGGTCCTCGAAATTTCACTATCCACTACACGTCGGACGTCGGCCTCCGAGAGACAAGCAAGACCACAGTCTGGTCTCCCCCCCTTTTCCCAACCTTTCCCGCATCGCTCTCTCCTGTGCTGCGAAATTCGCGTGGGGAGCTGATATCCGATGGTGTGGCGCGGGAGCTCTGCTAGGACCGAAACGTTTGCCTCGTGGCAGCTCGGGAATGGAAACTCCGCCGTGCACCGCTTGGGCCGCCGACATTCACGTCCCGGGGGCGGCGCGCTCCAGCGTTTACTATTCGAATGAATATCTGCGAGTACCAGCTAAACCTGTTCAGCTTTCACATTTCAAGGAAAGAGACGTGAAATGAGAGAGAAGCAATGTAAGATAACACAAAGCCTTTTGGAGAGTGCTGCGATGCAATCATGAATTGATTCGTGTCCTCTGCTGGTTTCTGGAAAGTTTGCGAATCTTGGCGAATCCGTTGGAGCTTCTGGTCTCGGACTCATCTGGGGCGCGCTGAGGGCCTTTGGGTTGGTGCACAATGCCGCGGATTGACCGTCTAAAGGCTAAGGATTTGGCAGACCTGAGATGACGATGAGGTGAGATGACCCGAAGATAGCGTGAAGAGCTTGAAACTGCTTGGAATTCGGCTTCAGCTTCTCGTTTCGCCTCCTCAGCGATGGTGAGGTTGCACAGGGCCTCCAAGCCGGCACGCTGCACCTGTCCGCAAGACCCACGTTGGACTCTCCGGCACTCCCATCTTGAGTTGAATATAGTTGACAATACTACGCTGAATATTGCACCTATTTGCACCTATTTGCACCTATCCGCACCTCCTCGTGATCTGAGAAGAGCAGGTCCTTGCACTTAGTCCAGGCTCCAGATTGCCTCAGAAGGAAAACAGAGGCTCGGGGCAGCTGCTTCATCTTTCAGTGCACTGTGTGGCCCAGTGGCAAGGCAAACGACCGAAGCTCCTCGCTGGCGGACAGGAGATTCGTCAATGCCAGGCAGCCTGCGTTCATTGTGCTGTGGCATCACATAAGCTATCATAAGCTCATATAAGCTCTCTGTTCTCGTTTCGCTTAGCCTTCAAACTGCAGCAGCTCGTGCCGGTGCTCCAGCAATGCCAGCATCGGCCTTGCGACGGTGAGTCTTGCAAGACAAAGCCTGATTCAGGCAAAAAACTGCCATCACGCCTCACCCTGCTAGTCCTCTCTTGTCACGTCAAGAAAAGCCAGCCTAACAGCGTCGAGCTGTTCCTGATACCTGAGTGCAATCCCCTCTTTGCACAAGGAACCATGACACGAGAGAATGGAGCCGAGAGAGGCCGAGAAGCTGCAGAAGCTGCGGATTCATCACGATCAGGATCTGCGCCAAGGCCTGCCTCGAGTCATTGAAGAGCTGAAAAGTGCAATTCTCTTGCGAGGCACTAGCCTAGCGCTCTACAGTAACGCAATCCCTCGAGCAGGCGAGAAATGGTGAGAACCAGCAGAGAGGATGCAGAAATGCGTTCCGTCTGGAATCACCCCTCGATCCTGGACAGTCGAAAACTTTACTCGTCTGCCACCCACATGTGCCAAATTTTGAAGCTTGCAACCACTGGCAGCAACTTGCAAACTCCAAGGGTTTCAATGGCCAATGTTTGTTGTGCCTGGCAGCATCTCGGGCCCCTTCCTCTGCATCGCGGCGACTGAGATCACGAGAATCCTGCAAAGGTTCAAAATTGATTCAAGGCGGAGCAAACGGCTTTGCCAAAAGAACGTGGATTACTGGCTGCAGGGCGCCGAGTCCTGCATGTTCGACAGTGCAAGGAGGGTCCGGATGCCTCCACTGGCTGCCACGATCTTCCTTAGAGTCCCATCTTGGAAAAAGCTCATCAAACCTCATCAAAACACCGTGCAAGTGCAGAGTCCCTGCAGCGAAGGAGGTTTCCCACACTCACTTGGCCACGGCACCGGTCACTCTGGTCAGAACACAGCAGCTTTAGCGAATCTGCCACGAGCACCTGCGAGCCACGCTCACCACGCTCGCCACTGAGATATCTGATATGATATGTCCTATCATGTCCTACAGCTGTCTCTCAAGTTTCGTGGCGTTGCATAGGCTGCAGCTTGAAGGTCGAGGGGTTCCAAGGTTCCGGATGCAGAAAGCAGCTGCATTCATGTGACTTGCTTTTTTTCGCAACACAAGCTGCTGTTTCCGAAGCCTACAAAGCAAAACGGATGCTACATGATTCGCACAAGCGACATCCAGCACAACCTCGGTGCACGGTAGGCTTGCGTGATCTTGCGAGACCGGTGAGGCGACTCCCCTAGACAGAGATCCCAACTTTCGTGCCCTCCTTGTGTTTGCCCGACTCAAAGAAGTTGGTGAAAGGGCCGATAAAGGAAGAAGCGTTTCGTCCCTTTCCACAGCACACTGCACCTTCGTCTGCCCGGACCCCGACGTGCAGCGGCACAGCTTGGCGACCAGGGGCGCGGCGCCGCCAGCCTCGCCTCACCCGCAACTCCAACACATCAAACAGCCCTAAGGGTGCACCCCAAAAGCTGCGTTCACAGTCCAAAAGTTAGATGAACAGTTACCAGTAAGGAACAAAGACCTTAATGGTCCAGTTGTGAATATTAGTGAATTAGCTTTCTGAACCAAGTTGCACTGTCATGGATAATGCAAAACGCCACAATCATATAGATTGTCTCTGCCACATGAAACTCTTCAAGATTCGTCGAACGAAGCGGTTTTGCACAGTGCAACACGTTGCAGTACGTATGCTAACTCGACAAAGGAATCGGGAATGAAATTGATCTGCTTTAAGGGGGGCGTGGGCCGATAGCCCGGCCCGTGGCAAGTCGCCCCAGGACGGTGTCTCCTATTTCGCGTTTCTTTCTGTGTCTTACTCTTTGTCAGACTTTGCTCTAGGGTCTCGGGGCAGTGTCGGACACTGACCCACCTCGTCGTTCGACACAGCGGGAGGGCGCTGCTGTGACCCTCACTTTTCTTCTCAATGAGTTGCCAACGTTGAAAGTTGAGACATGTTCGTTGGCCCTTCGGGGAGGCAGGGGAGCGAGCTGCAAACACAGCTCGACCTGCAGCACGGCAAAACACAGCCTTTGGTAGAAGTTGACGGCTTCGCTTATACGGCTTATACACGCTTTTTCCAGCTTTCGCAGCTTCCCAGCGGCAATGCGGCATGAACGAGGATGCGAACACACGCGCGCACACACACACACAATCACACACACAATCACACACAATCACACACACAATCACACACACACAATCACACACACACAATCACACACACACACACAATCACACACACACAATCACACACACACACACACACAATCACACACACACACACACAATCACACACACACACACACACAATCACACACACCCGCACACGCACACCCACACACACACACACACACACACACCACACACACCCACACCCACACCCACACCCCACCACCCACACCACACCCACACCCACACCCACACCCACACCCACACCCACCCCACACCCCCACCCACACCCACCCACACCCACACCCACACCCCCACCCACACCCACACCCACACCCACACCCACACCCACACCCACACCCACACCCACACCCACACCCACACCCACACCCACACCCACACCCACACCCACACCCACACCCACACCCACACCCACACCCACACCCCCACCACACACACACACACACACACACACACACACACACACACACACACACACACACACACACACACACACACACACACACACACACACACACACACACACACACACACACACACACACACACACACACACACACACACACACATACACATACACATACACATATATATATATATATATCCACACATCTACGCCCGCCAACCCGCCCGGACGCACGCACCAAAACACACACACACTCTCTCTCTCTCTCTCTCTCTCTCTCTCTCTCTCTATCTCACACATCATAGAGTCTTCTCTTTTAAGTCTACGTGATGGTGCTTTCTACTTTCTCCCTCTTGGCATCTTCTTTTTTGCTCTCCGCTTAGCTTGCTGGTGGCCTCGTTCCACACACCAGCTTCGAAAGCGGCGCGCCAAGCGAGGGGGCCCGGCATCCACCTCTTCAAATTGCCAGGCGAGCCCTCAAATGTACTTGAAACACCTGGAAAGACCAGGCCTCGCCCGGTCGCATGGGCCTGTCGGGTACCAGGATCCGAGCGATTCAAGGGATCCAAGGAGGGCACATCGCGGCTAACGATGCAAACAACGCTTCGGGTCCACGACCGTAGCGCTCAGACATTCACAGGCAGGTCGCTCACGAGGCCTCGCTTCTGCTGGCATTCGCTGGTAGAACTCCTCCAAGGCCTCAATTTCCCGTTTCAAATTCGTTGCTCATTGCGTGACGGAAGTGATGCGCAAGATCGTTTCCGGAAAGAAACGCAAGCACGTCAAGCAAGTGGTTTCTCTTAAATGCAAAGCGCCGAAAGCGCAAAGACACCTTGTAGTCCTCCCCGCTGAGTTCGTCGATCATGGGGTTGCCTGGCTCTCTGCTTGGGGGATTGCAGGGCACGAGGGCGGCGCTTGGCTCGGCTGCAAAGAGTGCTGAAGCACTTCTTTGTTCTTGCTGGAGCCGTTCATTGAATTTCCCGGCCTGTCTTTATTCGGACTTTGTCCTCCCGCGACCTGCAACTTGCAACATGCCACAAAAAGACTGGGGGAAGATTCAGGGTTTGGAGGTCCAGGGCGATGGGCGATTTGAGCATTGAACCGAAAGCACTACAAGCCTACTACAAGCACAACAACAAGATCTACCAAAATGCTTGCTTCTCCGACTCGCTAGAGAATCAAAAACTCAGCCCAATCTCCGTGCCACCAGGCTTCGCACCAGCTGCTATAGAGCAAAGGGAAGCTTTCATGAGGTTTGTTGAGTTTTGTCGCGCTTGCTCTGTCTCACTTAGGGTCCGCTCTCTCGCACGCGCTCCCGAAACGCGGGGGCCGTGTCTGTCCTTCTGCCCATTGCTTATTGCCATAGACCTGTTGAAGCCTTTCGAGGGCCAAATTGCTCTTTGCCGGCACTTTCGGCTCGTCTCTCTCGGCTCGGACATGTGGTCTTCGGACCGCCTCCCGGCCTGCAGAGATTGTAGACCAGCGAGGAAAAGTAGAAGCTCACCGCTGGGTCATCCCCCAGATCCTCTGTCAGCTAGTGAAACCATGTGGAACCAGAGGTCTAAAGCCCTAAAGTATCCTAAAATCATGTGTCCTGATGTGTCCTGGCCTCTTCCTTGGCCAAGGTCTGCAAGGCTCCCAAGGTCTTCTTTGACGTGGACAGCCGCTCCTGCGAACTCCGAGAACTGCAAAGAAGAAGTCGTGGACAGGGCCGACACACCTTGAACTCGCCATGGATGGCCAGAACTGCGAAACTTTCGTAGAGGCCGGCACATAGGCGACGTGCCTATGACAACAGGCCGATCGCACGCTGACTCTTGCGACAGCTCGAGGTGAGCTCGCCGTGAGCCCAGCGGCCTGTCGCTTCTGCTCGTGTGTCTCGGCGGCACGAGCTCCTTAGCTGAGAGAGGCGCCCTGTTGCGCCTGGATGCCTTTGGGCTTTGAAGCCTTATGCTGAAGCCTGATGCTGAAGCCTTATGCTGAAGCCATGTTGAAGCCGTTTGAAGCCATCGTCGCAGCCCCTTCCAAAGAGACTTCGGAACGCGACTTGTTGTGGTTCGCTCCACGGGTTTCGTTTAGGTTTGTTAAGCTTTGGCACTGTCGCCCGCCACATCCACAGCAAAGCGGAGCTCCATCATGAAATCCACCCGGTCCTTACAGTGCGGCTTCTGCCTACAAGCAGTTCTGGCCTCGACAAGGGCTGCCATGCTTCAAAAGAACTCCACATGCTGCAAGAATCGAAGATCTCATCTCGCACGTCTTTGCTGTGAGCCGCCATGATGGCCAGCACGGCGACCTGGGTCCAAAAGGGAAGTTGACAGAGACTGCTGAAGTCCGGAATGGTGAAAATCCAGAGTGCGAGGAATTTTATGGTGTAAAGAACTGCTTGGGAAGCGAACGGGAACCATCGGGAACCTCTGGGACAGTCCCCGTGCCCTCTGTGCGGTCGGGCCGCCAGCTTCGCATCCACAAGCTCCCGGCGAATGCCGCGATCCGTGTTGCTCAGCGCTCCGAGGATCACCTCGATGCCTTCAAGCGGGGGGGAAAGAAGTCTGTCAAAGTCTGTCAAAGTCTGTTCCAAAAGTCCGTGTGGCGACAGCTTCTAACAGCGGCAGTCTCCCGAGGGGGCTTTGGCGCTGCCTCCGCCTTCGATCCATCGCTGTCTTGTCCGAGCATCACTTGCCTTGTTCCAAAGCGGAATGCAGCAGAACTCAGCTCTTCAAATCTCTTCAACATGCAGCTGCAAGATGAGCCGGAACAACCTTGGCAAGAGCATTTACAATGGACAGACCCAGCGCCGCAAGAGGACGCTGCGAGAGAACGAGCGAGACAACAAAAAAACACAACACAATCGAAGCAGTCCCAACTTATCCCATTGTATCCCAACATGGCAACCTGATGCAACATGGTGGCATCAACAGACACCAGCAGTAGCAGATGCTAGCAGACAAAATCGACGAGTGAGACTGGGCGACATCATGCGATAGATGATGGCTACGTGCAGCTAACCGGAGTTGAGTCCCTACGAAAGTGCTGCACATGCTTGCAGATGACCCGTAGAGTCGACGTAAAGACAACAGACAACCACATCAGACGACACCAGCTATTGCCTTGAATCGAAATCAAGGCCAAGGCTGCAGGAGACGGCAGAAAAGACTGCATCAGACAGCGGCTGTGAGCGGCTGTTATATTGGAGCGGGTGTCACACCAGGGCGCCGGCTGCCAGAAGCAAGCACTCTGCAGCATGACCCTGGGCATCACGCCCTTCAGGGCCTGGTGCAGTCTTTGCTCAGGTTCTCACTCTGTATCACTGCTTCCTAAATCAGATTCCTCTCATTCTGCATTTGGCAAAATGGGATTTACATGGTGTCCAAAGCTGAATTCGGAAGTTGCGCCTGGCACCGGCCGGGCCAAGGCATTGAGCACTGCAGACAGGGGCACAGCCGACATCTGCAGGATCAGAGCTGCGTCCTCCCGTACAGTAGGGCAGCACAGCCTTAAGATTCACCAAGTGCCATTTTAAACTTAACAGCTACTAGCCTTAGAAGGTTCTGCGGAGCCCAAACCGTGCTGCTCCTTGGCTCTGGAGGCCAGGAGGCAGGCAAGCCCGGCGAGGCCATTGCGCAGAAGCAAAGCATCCTTGGAAGACAAAGGTTGCAGCCTTCATCGGAGAATCAGATGCGCCGAGCTGATTCGAACTCAGCTTTACCTGGGCCCCCTTTCTTCAAAAGCCCATGGACCTGGTTCTGGAGAAAGGGCTCCAGCAGTCGTAAGCCGATTCCCGGCACGTCCACCTGGCAAGGACGAATGGACACCTTCTTTGCCCTGCAAGGGCTTGGTCAATCTTGGGCCCAGCGAACCCCTCTTCGCCTGAAGCTCTCGCGGTCGGTCATTGTTGTCTGCCAGCAGCGAAAACACCTCGCGGGGAGGGGGTGGAAGGGGCACTCTGAAAAGGAGCGGGCAGAGCAGCGGGGCAAAGGGTCCCACTCACAAGGGTCCACGGACTTCCGCCCAAAACACGCGGCAAGGGCCTCGGCCAAAAAGCCGTGTAGAAGCTCCTACCCGCATTGCACGGTTCCGCAGTCGGGCGAGCTTGGTAACGCTGGGTTAAGCTGGGTCGAACAATCTCCCACACAAGGTGTCCAGACAGTATGGCCACAAATGCCGGGAGGCTGCATCCAATCGCAACTTAAAATGGCCATCGGCATGGCGAAAATGGACACACACACACACACACAGATCTCCCTGTCCTGTTGGTCGGTCACATGGAGCGCTACCTACACGAGCAGCGCACACAACATTCCTGACATGTTCCTGAAGTCAGCATCAGTTCACGATGACCTGAGAAGAACAGCTCAACTGATTCACGCACCGTTTTTACGTGAACAACTCCATTGACTCCCTGTGAGATCGGTGAGCGGCTTCGCCTCCAGACAACGGCGCAGGCCCGAGCTGAACACCACGGCTTTGCCTGCACTCTCGGCATCTCCGAGTTCACTCGCGGAGCAAGTGGGGGAGCACTCTGAAGTTGATGTCGAGCTGCAAGTTTGTAAGTAACAAGAAATCTCATGTCGTCCAGCCTGAAGCCCAGTAAGATAGCAAAGGTGCAATAAAGGCTCAAGCCTGAAGAGCCCTGTTGACGGCGAACATCGAAGATGGCGTTCAGGGACGCCTCAGCGCTGCGCGTGAAGCCCCCGTGAGGGGCACTCTTCCCTCTCAGCTTGGCTTGCGTCTTAAAATGCATTGCCGTCAACATCCACATACAACCACCATCCACCATCCACCAAACTCTCAGCTCTTCGCCAGCACCGCTCTCGAGGCATCGGCCTGTGCGCGAGGCCGGAGCCACTGACACACCCACCCAGACACACACAGAGAATGCGAGACCTGATGATACCTGACATCAAATGAGACGAGAAAAGCAGAATGGTGCCTATGCAAAGAAAGTACTTATCGGGAGTCTCTTTGTCGGGCCAAGTTGTAGCATCAACTGAGGCATATGTCATATCTGTCCTCGTCGTCCAGTGCCTCAGCCAGGAGCTCCAGGGCCGCCTGCCGTGCTCCCGTAAGTCGTTCCAGTATGTTCCCATATATGTTCCCACATATGTTATGTTCGTTCCTATACAACCACACTACCCTACGGCTCTGTCCCAATCCCCAAGCGCCACATACGACGGGGTCGGGCACGCCGTGATCATACACTGTTCTCGGATTCTGCTGTTTTTGTGTTGAACCTTACACTTTTTTGTGCTGAGTTGATCTGTTGTGGAAGCTGGGATGGGCGGCCGCTGCAGCAGTAGGAGCCGCCACTCGCAATGGGCCGAGTGGCGAGTGGACCGGTTGAAAGTACTGAGCCAATGTCAAGAGAGGGCAGCAAAGGACGCAAAAGAGTGAGAGAGAGAGGAGGGAGGGAGAGAGAGACAGAGAGAGCTCAGAGTTGAATTTCGTGCCGTTGTTGAAGTGCTTCGCTGTCGGCTCTTTCCTTCACGCCTTCACCCGGTGTCTGGCATCCTGGAAGCCAACATGCACCCTCTCTTGGCGCGACAGGAGTTTTTGGGTGGCGTTAACATGTTGTCGTGAGAAAGAGAAGAAGGCACAACCCAAAGTGTCTGCACGCCGGCAGTTGGACATGTGTGCTTCACGTCTCCGAAATATGATCGTACCTTTCTCTTGCCGGAGCCTACAGAGAGATCCTGAGATCGAACCTCGTCCTCGGGTTCCTGGCCTGCACGAGCACTTCGCACCCTTCATACCGCCCTTCAACGCTCTCTATCTTTTGCGCCCAACTGAGCCAGCGGCAATAACTCAGCAGCAAGGCAAGCTGACTGACAGATCCTCCGAGCTGTGATGTCAGCACTTGCATGAGCAAAGTGCACAAAGGTGGCGGCGGGGAGGGGCGGGGAGGGGGGGGAAGGAGGGGGGGGAGGGAGGGGGGGGGAGGGAGGGGGGGAGGGGAGTGTGGGCGCTTCTCCTCCGTGGCCCTTGCATCGCCTCCCCAGGCGACGGAGAGCGCCGTGGCCACCGTCGCGCAGCGCGGCACGAAGCCGGGACCTGGCTTTGGATTCTTGAGGGGGCGCGCCCCGCCCCGCGGCGACACCTTCGCTCTCGCCTCGGCTCTCCATGTTGCTAATGCAAAACAAATTGAACCCTCCCCTCTTCTAAGCCATCGGTGCTCAAGGCTTTGCATGCTCTACATTTAATTGGCGTGCTTCACATCCCATGATTCGTGACAAAACCTTCAGAACCCCCTGCGCTGCATTCATGGTGAACGTTGGTGGAGGACTTCGGCACCGCGCACATCCGCACCTGGCGTCCACCGCGGAGGCAGTTGGAGTCTCCACCTTTCCTTGCGTCTGCAGCCGCGCATCTGCCGCCTCTCGCGTGTAGCTGCTAGTGTAGCTGTATGCGTCTGCGTGTAAGGGTATGTGAATGTGGGATCCAAGCTTGGGCTGGCAGATGCTGGCAGACCCGAAAAGACCTCCAGATCGTCTCGCTCCCTGCCCGAGGCGATGAGACAAAGACTTCGGAGGCATGCCTCAACGAAAGGTGAGAAAGTCTTCTGGCATTTGAGGCAAAACTGATGCACTCTACCTGAATCCTGATGTGCTCGGCCTGGCGGAGCTCCGGCGATGTCTTTTCAGCATCTCCCAATGCCAGCAACGCCTGCCAGCAATGCATCCCATCCAAGAGCTTCCACGTGCAAGCATTCCAAGATTTTTGCTTGTTTGTGTTGCCATGCCGCGCCCATGCTAAGGCGGGCTCTCTCGTTCAAATTGCATGGGAGAAAGATTCGAATTTCCCGGCTGCTCGCGTGTGCAGGCTCTGGCGCTCTTTATATTCTTATTCTTATTATTATTCCTCTTCTTCTTATTCTTCTTATTCCTCTTCTTCTTCTTCTTATTGTTTTTCTTCTTCTTCTTCTTATTCTTCTTCTTCTTTTTTCTTATTCTTCTTCTTCTTTATTCTTATTCTTCTTCTTCTTCTTCTTCTTCTTCTTCTTCTTCTTCTTCTTCTTCTTCTTCTTCTTCTTCTTCTTCTTCTTCTTCTTCTTCTTCTTCTTCTTCTTCTTCTTCTTCTTCTTCTTCTTCTTCTTCTTCTTCTTCTTCTTCTTCTTCTTCTTCTTCTTCTTCTTCTTCTTCTTCTTCTTCTTCTTATTCTTCTTCTTCTTCTTCTCCTTCTCCTCTCTTTTCCTTCTTCTTCTCCCTCTCTCGCTCTCTCTCTCTCTCTCTCTCTGGCTCTCTCTCGCTCTCTCGCATTTTCTGCCTCAACGATTACATGGAAAAAAAGCAAATGTTGTAACTTGTCCCACTTTGCGGTGATATCTCCTGTTGGCGGAAACAATGCAGAAGCATTTCGAGAACACAGCGGCTCGAGAAACAACTCACAGCCTCCAAGTTTACAACGCTGGCTCGTTCTGCAGCATGGGCTAGAACAGCTTCAGTGCTAGTGATTCTTGTGCGAGCCCTTCTCGGGCTGGGTTTCTTACACGCTGCTTTCTGGCTATATGGCTCATCATTGCCCACATCAGACCCTCACCCCAGTCATCACATCGTACCCCACACCCCCAAGCCCCGCCTCACCGAATCCTGTGCGCGAAGCACCCTATGTCCCTAGGTCGTACAAGTTCTTTACGGCCGTGATCAGAGTACTGCTCTTTTGGCATCATCATCCCCGCACGAATGGCAGGGCCTCCAGCACACCGTGGCTGAGCAGCGAGGATGCCTAAAGCAACCCGTTGCAAACGGCACTCTGCAAGCGGCTGTTGGCAAAGTCCTCACCTCGCCCCGCAGCGCAGCTGCTCGAACTTTGTCACAAGCATCCCGCTGCACCTCCTGCGCAGAGCAGGGACTGCGGGGCTTTGCGACTCGCCCAATGCAGAATCCCTGCTCTTGAACGCTCGCATGATCCCATCCTCCTGAGCTGTGGGCGCACGAAGTGTGGCGGCCAGACGTGCTGGCAGGCTTTGCTCCACAACTCGGAATTCAGCGGACCATGTGATTGAATCTAGCATCGCTCACAACTGCACACGTCGAAATGTCTCCTGTGTGTGTGTGTGCGTGCGCGTATGTCCACTCCTGTGCACCAAGGGTGCTTAGATTCGCCTCAGCTTCTGGCCGAGAGGCGGCTAGAACAACCTAACCCAACCCGCCGCCCCTGTCCAGATCCTTTGGAGGAGCTGCAAACCGTTGCCATGCTTGGTCCCGCCTGTGGGGAGCCCCAGCCGGGTGGGTGGGTGGGTGGGCAAGTGTGGGTGTGGCTGGGTGTGGGCGTGGGCGTGGGGGTGGGGGTGGGGGTGGGGGTGGGTGTGGGTGTGGGGGTGGGTGTGGGTGTGGGAGTGTGTGTGTGTGTGTGTGTGTGTGCGCACGCGCGTGTCCCCTGCTTTGTCTTTGTGATGTCTGCGGTCTTTCGTCTTCGTGATGTCATCTATGGGGGGCTTTCAGGGCCCCAGGGTCCCCGTTGTGCACTCTCTAGGTAACCGGCGCTTGTCGCTACGCCGTGCCATGGCTGCCCGCAAACGCTGCGCCGCCTCCACAGCAGGGCGGTTCCTGAAGCAAAGGAGCTGGTAGCATGCAGAGCCAAAACGTCGGGAAAGGCAGAGAGAGAAAGAGAGAGAGAGAGAGAGACAGAGAGAGAGATGGAGACAGATAGAGAGAGAGAGAAAGAGACAGAGAGAGAGAGAGAGAGCGAGCAGCAAGAGAGAGAAGGAAGAGAGAGAAGGAAATGAGAGTAGGAAGAGAGAGTAGGAAGAGAGAGAGAAGGGAGAAAGAAGAGAGATAGAAAGAACCGTTGTGCTCATGTCAGAAACGCCGCCGACAGCTTCGTGGCGCACCCGGGATCGACACGCGCCACGCGTGCAAAGTCCGACAGGGCCTTCCGGGCCACACTTGCAATGAGAAAAATCTGCAGGGCATGGTTTTACATGGTCCCGCATCTGGGATGGTCGGCACCTCTGTCTCACGCCCGAGCATTTCCAGCGCCGTGGCACGGCGGAAGAGGGACCTGAGAAAGGCAGAAGAAGCCGAAGTCACAAGCTTCCTCGAATTAATTCTGAAGCACTTCCCCAGATCTACAGCAGAGTGACTGCAGCGCGTGAGCTTGGGCACCTCTATAGAGAACACCATGTTGCAGCAAAGTGGCTTCACATGCTCCGGCAACAGCTCTAGGCACGCGTTGGCATCATCCAGCCCCTTCTGGAAGTCACCTAAGCGGACTCAGCACTAGCCCTTTCGACCAACATCTACAAGATTCTAAACGCGTAGTATTACCAAGCATGTACACGAACGAGCGTTGCTGCGCAAAATGTGAAGAGAAGATGAGGCCATTGTGGCTGGTTGCTCAACTTGAGCCAGCACTGACTCCGGTTCGCCAGAAGAAGCCTTGCACCAGGCAAAGGACTAATGTGACTACAGCAACCCACAAAGGACCGCGATTCGAAAAGCCACCTCGAGGTGAGCATAAGACAACAAGTGTGAACATTGTTGCTCCTTCGACGTGAACCTTTCACAACCTCATTGCTTGCTCACCCTCTCTGATCTGGTGGGAAGTTCTCGTCGCACTCATCAAGGCCTTTGGTGTACCTTAGCAAGGCCATCAAGATGAAATGCCACCAGACAATCGTCGACCAGTCTTCATCTGTAGCTGCAATCAGCACAGAAAGTGTTAGGACCCAGATTCGCTGTGGTTAGGCATGGCGGTCAGATACAGCAGAGCTTCCCTCCCGAGGAGCGAGGCCGGACAGAGATCATAAGCATCGGGCGAGGGATCTTCTGGGAGGAGTGAGGTCGATCATGAGCATCGGCGAGGGATCTTCTGGGAGGAGTGAGGTCGAACAGCGAGCATCATGAGCATCAGTCAAGGGCCTTTTTTGCGAGGAGCGAACAAGCATTGAGTATCAGCGAGGGACCTTTTAGGAGGAGCGAGACCGGAGAGCACCATGCACCATTGGCGGGGCCGGACAGCAAGCGTCATGAGCATCGGCGAGGGGTTTTTTTTGGGAAGAACAACATACGACTGTACACAACTGTACATCATCAATCCCGGCTGCCTTCTGTCGAATCTTACAGCGGCCATGGCCGCGTGCTAAGGGCACGGCGTACAAGGAGCTTTCAACAACAAGGGAAAGTACATTCAGAAAGTACCAGAATTTCAGCAACGGAAAACAACCAGCAACGGAAAACAACCTACACCTAAACGTAAACCCAAATTCCGTAAACATCCCTCCACATGCCAATTCGACCACATGCAGGGCCTGTTTCCCGAAATTATTGGATTGAATGTTTGCCAGCTAGGTCAAGCTCAGCGGCTCCACCGCAGCTTCGTGCCACTTCCCCTCCTGCAAGTTGGTGTTCAGCAGCTGCAAGTGCGCAGTTGCGAGACTAGCAACTGCTGAGACGCTGAAACCATTCAGCCGCTGGAAACCAACACACCACACGGAGAGGTCTTGCCACCACGCAAGCTGCAACCCGTAACAAGCACGTGCCTTGCAGAACTGGTTTCCAGCTTCCTTCCGCGCTAGAGGCCCCATGGCTGGGTCAGTCATCCATCTCCTATGCTGCTCTTTATGCTGTGCACTTTGCCGGTCTGAAAGAAGGTCAAGCCCGGGTTGTCACGGCCGTTTACGTTCCGACATCCCCGGACCAAATCGTGAGAGTGTGATTAGTGCTTGTTGGCTAAGGTATTAGGGGCTTGCGGCTTCAGGGAACCGGGGCTGGGCTGGGCTGGGTGTCACTGGGTGTCTGGCTCAGCACTCTCTTGTGCTTGAACGCAGCTCAGCCTACTGCTAAAATGCTGAAGGCAAGACCAGGTCGATGCCAACTAAGACAGCATGCCACACAAGACGTGGCGACAGCCCTGCATCCAACCAAGCACGACAGCTTCAAATCCTGCAAGGCCCTGAATACTCTTGTTGCCGAAGCGCGAGATGACCGAGACCCAAACCCGTCCAAACACTAACGGTCCTAACCCCGAACCCTCAACCAGAAACCACCCTGCGCGCCCGAACGAAGTCGTAGCAAAGTCCGATTCACTCCGACATTCACATTAAAAAAAACACCAAAGGGATCATGCCAAGGTCCGGGCACGTCTTCGCAGCTGGCTACGATGCGCCTTTACATACGGCCAAGCCAGAGAACCGATAGAGAGAGAAAGAGAGACAGAGAGAGAGAGAGAGGAAAGAGAAGGAGGAGAGAGAGAGAGAGGGAGAGTTGCTTCACCCTTGCAGGACGCGCCCGTAGCCGTCATCTGTGATCCGACGCACGAATCCGCACTCGATGTCCCCGGCATCGCTCTTGCCTCAGAGGTTCACACCGCCCTAAGTTTACTCTTTGCATTCCAGCGAGGTCCACGCCGATGCTGAACTCACACTTGTTTCGGTACCCTTCCAGGCCTCGCAAGACATCGACAGACACCAGCCCGAAAAAGGCGGTGGTCGCGTGCAGGCCAAAAAATGCCACAAAGTCATCACGAAACGCAGTGTCATTGCCCAGCTACATTGCCTGCATCTCCCCAGCACTCTCTGGAAGGAGGTACTCCCTCGTTCTCTCAACACACACACACACACACACAAATCCCACATCCCGGGTACGTGACTTCCTTCGGGCGTGCCGATGGGCGGGTCCAAGGGACAGGCGCAGCCAATCGGTGCCTGAGGAAAGCAGACGCAAAGAGCAGAAGCTGAGCGAAAAACCAGCAACTTGAGCAGATTTGCGCACTGTGTCAAACATGAACCCTGATGACCCTGCGAACCGGCGTCAAGCATGAGCCCTGAGAAGGAGCTCTCGGGTCGCGGCCCCGCAGGCCTGCCAGTCCGGAGAGTCCATGCCAAAAACTCGTGGAAGCCTGAAGCCTGACTGAAGCCTGGCTATCTGTGACTTCATGTGACTTCATGTGACTTCTCACATCTTCCCACCCTTTCATGTGGTGTCTTGATTCGCTGAGAAGCGAGTTGAGATTCTTGAAAGTGATGGCATTGGGGAGGGACAAAAACCCACTTGTCCCGTTCTGTCCCGCTTGCCCCAGTTAAAAAGTTGCCAATGTAGGTTCGAGTGCGATTTGCTTGCTGTAAGGTCACTTGCGCGGTCGTGGGCCTGCCTTCCGCCTCCTCGCGTTGTTACATTGTTATATATGAATGATCCCAGCGGGCGACCGCACAGCAAAAAACAACACGTCCGATTTGCCACACGTATCCACACATGTACATGATCCCACGGCACGACCGCACGTCCGAAAAAAAAACAAACACGGGTTCCACACGGTAACAGTCCGTCGATTCCGTTGTGGAGTCATGCACATACTGGTCAGATAGGGCAGATAGCTACGTCCTGTAGCTGCCCACATTGCAGTAGGCTCAGTAGGCGCACTTTCCAGCCAAGCCCGACACTGCAGGGGCGCATCCAGGCTATGCCACGGGTCTAACGCCGTTCAGTGCCTTTGGGTCCACTGTGGTGCCATTTTGGTTGAGTGCCAGAGGGAAAGAACAGCTTGTTGGCACAGTTGGGCAGGCTCTCGAGGGTTACTCAACAAACTCGGCAAAAAAAACACAAGAGAACCCAAGCCTTGGACCACTCGAAGGAGGTCCAGGCTGGGGCCGGGAGGCTCAGGTCCTGTGCAGGGCAATGCTTAGGCGAAGATAGAGCCAGATTATGTTCACTCGTGCCGACTCTTTGTAGACTGCACCTGTCATCCAGAAGCATCACGCATGCAACAGCGGATTCAGACTACGCGCTTCCTCGGTGCACAGCGTTTCGCGCAGTGGCCTTGCACTTCTTGTCCACCTGCTTCGTAAAGGACCGTACCTGCAGGCTCTCGCGTCACTTGAACAAAGCCCCGCACCCCGAGGACGACTCCCGATACGATGCAGCTGATGCGACCTCCATCTAACCCAATATCACTGTCAGGGGCCCCATCTACCAAAGCCGAGGCTCTGGCTGCGGTCTTGATGTAGGTGCCCTTCATGCCTAGCTGGAATCGTCTATGAGCCTACGAGTCTGTGCCAGTTCTGTCGAGCACCCGGCTCAGTTGGGTCTCGTAGCTCCAATCGATGAGCGGAGCCTAAGCACAAAGGGCATTTTGAGATCCCACCTCCATGCCCCTTTGTGCCTTTGTGTTCCCCACGCATTTGACTCCTTTCGGTCCCCGGCGCTCTTCCGCAGCACGTCGCCGGGATCTGTGGCAAGCTCCGTACATGGATTCGACCAATCGGGTTCCGCGTTTTCACGGCCAAGCTGCTCAGTCTCCCCCCCCCACTCTCATCAGCTACCCAAGATTGGCGGCCCTGATTGCTTGTAGCTGCTGGTGAGGTGGCGGACACGAAAGGAGCGCTTGTGCCTTTGTTTTTCAGCTTGTCCTTGAGGTCCTTGAGGGTCGGAATGTGGCCAGGCCTGTGCGTAAGGCCACTCTGAAGGAATTCTGAACACCCTGTGGCCCTTTTCCAAAACGAAACAGAGTGGTGGCCAGGGCACGGGAAGTCCTTGACCTTCTGCCGCTTGTTGCTCCGCTCCTCGGCTACGACATGCTACGATATTCCTCTTGCTTTCTTCCTGCAAAGCTTTCTGCCAATGCTTACGATCTCCCTCTCTCCCAGTGCTGATGCCTCGTCCCCCTTGGGCTGGCTCTTCCGAGGAGTGCCCTCCTCAGCGCGGTGCGTCATTGAGATTCATTGGGTCATTGATCCAAACACCAGGCAGAGCTACATGAACGTCTGAAGCATGAAAAACCCGATGCAATCTTTAATCTTGACCCCTAAGTTACGAAGTTGTGAGCAAGGGATGCTTGCACGCACTTTGCATCTTCTTGGGTGAGCCTCAGTGTGCCAATGTGCATTACGTTCACAAATTACAGCTTAATTAGAGGGTGCCGAGCTACAATTTCGTCTCAAATAGGTCCAGGTGGAAGCATGGCTTAATAGCTGAGGATGCCGGCATTTACCGACACGCAACATTTGCGCATCAGCAAACCATCCACGGCCTGGTCAGCGTGCTCGTACAAGCAAGGAAGTGACAGCCCATGAATGGCCTCGCGGAACTTTTGCTTATGTTCTGGAAGAACAGTAACGAAAGCCTCGGACGGTCTTGGATACCCGGCGGCAGCGGCATCGGTGCTTTGTGGATTCTACACAATTCATCACCCTTCGCAGAGCTTTTTGAGCTTGCGTCACAGATCCAAGCAGCGTAACTCCAGGTCTGCAGCTTGAAGACTTTCTGAAGCGGCACGCCGGCATTTTCGGCTAACCTCAGCAGCAGTGAGAAGGACCTGCGAGGCCTCTTGAAAAAAAACGTTCAACCTCTCAACATGCGCTGCAGATGTGTGCGGAATCGGCAGAGCTGCAAGATATCGCTGGAATCGGAAGAATCCGCAAGGAATGGCTTGCAAGTACAGCTCGAAAATCCCGATTCTCGTGAACTCGTGAACTCAAAATTCCTACTGATGTGCTCGGTCACGCCCACGTTAAGATTCCGGCCATTGCTCCACCTTTGCACATGGCATCTTGTTGAAGTCGCGGCATTGCACATGCCTGCTTACCAGGACTTTGAGACTTGTGGAACGTTCATAAGCCAAACCTTTTGGAGCGATTGTACTCATGTGCCTTGGAACAAAATCTAGACCGTCCATTCTCTGAGCTGCAGGCAGGCTGGGGGCTTCCTCCTCACGAAACACGATGATTCCATTTGCAACTTTTCTACAAAGCTCAAAGTCGATCATACGCGATAGTCCCTTGATTTTTTTTCCGAAGCCATACCGTGAATCGACTGTACGTCAACTTCAAGACACGGCGTTGGCGCAGCAAAAAGGAGGCTTACCCTCTGCAGACGCTTTAGAACTGTCTTTGCAAACCTGCATATAGATGAGATTATCCTGTACCGGGGTTTCTTCATAAGATATTCTGCCAAGCGTCTCTTCCCACACAAACTTCTTTGCATGGTGTATCCAAGTTTGCCGGGGTTTCACGACTCGCTTTTTGCCATACTCGATTCTAGTGGCACTGCTGGGCATAAACGATACCTGTCTTGAAGGGTCTGAATCTGTACTACGAAGTATATGACCTAAAAAGCTTAGCACGTCGAAAAAATTATGGAACTAAATAGTAGTATCTTTCGTTGGTCATCCCGGAGTCGCTTGATTTGGAGAGTCTTATTCCCCAAACAGTCTACTGTTGGGGTTCTAAATTTAGGGATTGCCGACATTCTGAGGACTGTGGCCGGGTTAGTGGGCTCCTTGTCTCCCTTTGTCTCCCTTTGTCTCCCTTTGTCTCCCTTTATCTCCCTTCGTCGCCCTTCTTGTGGGTGGCTTTGCCGGGTTGCTGTGCTCCTCGTCTCCCTTTGTCTCAATTCGTCTCCCTTTGTCTCCCGTTGTCTCCACCGTTTCTTTGGCGTGCCTTTGACTGTTTGGATCTGTTTGGGGTCTTCGGTGGTGTAATTCCACGTCAAAGCCCGGCAACGCTTTTGCAGTTTCCATGGATCCCGCGCAGGACCTCAGTCGCCGCAGCCTCCGCCATGACGGAGGCCTCAAAGCGTGACAGGCATGACTACGACAGAACCCGGTGGTTCCCATGGAAAAACTGCTACTGTTGCTGCAAGTACTGTCATTGCTGCCCAAGCGGGCCAAGAGAGTGGCTGTGCAGACTTGCGATGAATGCTTCACTGCTCAACGACAACAACACATCACAACACCTCAAGACATGGCTTGCCGCACGTGCCACAAAACAACGGCTGCCACGATGTGAAACTGGATGCTCAAAAAAACAACAACAAAGAAGCGTCGGTGGAAGGCTCGTACTGCTTAAGAGTAGCTTGTAAGTTCTGAACATATAATGTTCTTTCAGAGTTCGGGAATCCCGGGTTGCGGCACAACCAAGGAGCGTTCTCTTCTCACAAGGAAAGCCCCACTCTCTGTCAGCCACCACGCGCCGGCTTTTAACAGCGCCGCGGCCTGGGTCGATTTGCAGCAGCGCGGCATGCGCTTCTCGGACTCTTCCCGGGGATGTCGCTCCATTTTGACGATGGAAGCTCGCTGCACGCCCCCTCCTCGCGCTCACGGTGCTCACGTGGAGCCCGACCTCCTGCGGCTGGCGCGGGGTCATAGCCGTCAGCCACACCCTTGCCAAGGGAGCGACCTCTCGAGCGAGCCCTGAGACCGCCTGTCCTGCATGAGTCGCTTTTGAAGCTTCTTTTGGCTGAAAGGAGGTGTTTTGGGCGAGCTGCGGAAAGCAGCTCCCGTCGCATCCTATCGCTGCACTGCGTGCAAATTGCATGCAGGAAGGCTGATTGTAATTTGCTGAAACCTGCCCTTTTCGTGGCGGTCCGCAGATGCACACACACACACCTTGGCCACAGCCTTGGCCATGCCATTCAGGGTCGTGAAGAGTATTGATGTAGCCCTGGCAACGCTGGGCCCGGTTCGTCCCGTGTTTCCTCCTCAGAGGTGTTGCACCTCCCACGGCAGCTCATTTGACCGGGCCTGCACTCCTCGTTTCTAGGGTGCTTTTCCATTCTTGCGCCACACTCCTAGCAAAGCTAGCCGTCTGCAAGGTGCACAAGGGTAGTGTAATATCATATAATATAGTAGCAAAGGGGCAGTGCCGAGCATTGTCGAGCAACACGCGCAGTGGCCAACACCACGATGCTGTGCATCGTGGTGCACTCTGAGGCCCTGGCAGAGATCAGGCCATAGGCCGTGCCGCCTCTGACAATGCTGAAGAGAAAATAGGAAGCCAATGGAAGCCACAAAACCACAAAAGCACGCAAAGCAGCTTCTCACTCGGTTGCCTGGACAGCAGCTAGTGCCAGCATGTCCCAGCACACAGAAAGAACAGTGGTCCACAAGCGATATATAGGTACAGTAGGTCTTCACGAGTCTTCACTGCAGTTGGATACACACGTGTGCAGCAGGTGGCTTTGGCTTTGGGACTTTGGCGTTGGCAGGGTCATCCAAGGCATTGGATCTGGTGGGACGTCGTACTGTACCAGGGCTTACAGATGCTTACAGTATCACCCTACCCGAGCCATCAGTCACCGGCACACGCAGAGCTGCCACCAGTGTGAGCTCGAGCAGCAAGTCGTGAATGCTGCGAATGCTCTCACGCTGCGGTGACGCTGTGCATGATCTCTTTGTCCGCGGAGTTGCCAGCAGTCACCGACTCAGGGCAGAAACAACTCCATTACCCCTCCCACATGCTTCTGCTTCCCTTAAGGAAGCTTCGGCAAAAGCGCAGAAGCAAGCCTTTAGCATGATTGCGCAGGGATGCGAAGTGGCTGGGTGTGCTCTCCAGGTTGCCCGCTTTTTGAGAAGGAGCTGTAAAAACGTGAGTACTCTGTCTGACACGCAGGTCTATCGGAGTCTATCGTTGCCCTTCAGGAAGCGGTACAAACAGGGTCTGCACACACAGCGCTGAGGACTTTTGCAGTTGAGCCTTTTGGCCTTCCACCGGGCCACTGAAGGCTCTTCGACGAAGAAGCGCTTAGCGCCTGATCTGCGCCTGATCTGCGCCTGCTCTGCGCCTGTTCTGCGCCTGTTCTGCGCCTGTGCGGCACGTGACAGCAGGGGGCCCCTGCAATGCCGAAGAAACTTTGAAGCTCGTGGCTCAAAGCGCCGCAAAGTTTTCAAGGTCCAGGTGAATCCTAGGGTCTGAGAAGATCTGGGAGCATGGAAAAAGCGATGGAGCACCATTGCTTGCCACAGAGAAGCCTCCAAGCAGCTGCGGTCCAAGGATCGTCGCACTCGTGGATGAGCTGGGGCTTCAGAGGGACCTGCAGCAAGCATCACGACGCTCCAAAAGCTCCAAGCCCTCATCGCAGTCCGAAGTTCAGCTTTCAGACGAGAACCCTGGTGGCAGTTTTGAGGACCCCTGCCTCGGTCAGCAACAGCGTCGGTTTCGAGCAGCATGGAGGATGTGGGCACTGGCCCTGAATTTTGCTGAATCAACATTGAAGTCTGATTAGCTGCTTAGCTTGTTAAAGATGTTAAAGTCGAAGGGAAGAACAAGAGCAAGAACCAATGCAAATACCACAATCACAAAATACAAGAATGACAATCACATTCAAATAAATGAAGTAAAAATAAGGAGACGTGTCATCAAAGGAAAAGCAACAACAAGAACAGCAGCAGCAACGGCAACGGCAACGGCAACGGTAACAGCAACGGCAACGACAACGGCAGCACAGCAGCCACAAACACTACAACTAACAACTACAGCCACGTACTACCACTACTACCACTACTACCACTACTACCACTACTACCACTACTACCACTACTACCACTACTACCACTACTACCACCACTACCACCACTACCACGACTACCACTACTACCACTACTACCACTACTACCACTACTACCACTACTACCACTACTACCACTACTACCACTACTACCACTACTACCACTACTACCACTACTACCACTACTACCACTACTACCACTACTACCACTACTACCACTCCTACCACTGCTACCACTACTACCACTACTACCACGACTACCACGACTACCACGACTACCACGACTACCACGACTACCACGACTACCACGACTACCACTACTACCACTACTACCACTACTACCACTACTACCACTACTACCACTACTACCACGACTACCACGACTACCACTACTACCACTACTACCACTACTACCACTACTACCACTACTACCACTACTACCACTACTACCACTACTACCACTACTACTACTACCTACACTACTACTACTACTACTACACTACTACTACTACTACTCAATACTACTATACTACTACTAATACTACTACTACTACACTACTAATATACTACACACTACTACTACTACTACTACTACCCACTACTTACTACTACTACTTACTACTACTACTACTACTACACTACCTACTACTACTACTACTACTACTACTACTACTACTACTACTACATCTTACTACTACTGCTACTCTACCACTACACTAACTACTACTTACTACACTACCTACGACGACGACGACGAACGACGACGACGACGACGACGACGACGCACGACGACGACGACGACGACGACGACGACGACTACTACTACTACTACTACTACTACTACTACTACTACTACTACTACTACTACTACTACTACTGACGACGACCACCACCACCACCACCACCCCCACCACCGCCACCACCCCCACCACCACCACCACGACGACGACGACGACAAAGGCAAATACAATCCGCCCGAGGCCTCGGGCCGAAGGTGTATAGGTTGTGAACAAACACCCCCTACAAATCCTTTCAGCCCCCTTTTTTTGCCTGGAATGGGTACCCCCCATAGGCGACCAAGCGGACGCTTCGCCAAACCAACCACAGTTGAAGCCCCGCCCAGCAGGCCCCCCCCCCTGCCCCTGCCCCTGCCCCCCGCTTGCGCCCCTCCCCCTGGCCCACCCCTTCCCCCCCTCCTTTTGCTTTTCGCCAAACCCTGAAGCGTCAGCCCCCAAAGCCCGCAACCCTAAACTAACCCTCAACCCTGAACCCTAAACCATAAACCCGGAACCCTAAACCCTAAACCCAACCCTCATTGCTTGGGGTGCAGCGACTTGGGCGCTGCGGAATCACCATGCTCACGCGGATGCGCTGGGCCGGGCCGAGGCGGGTCGCGTAGCGTTAAAATTACCATTGCAATTGCATTTGCAAATATAATCTGCGCGCGCGAGAGGGCTTAGATGCGTACCCACTGCGCGCCGGCGCGTACGCGGGTACCTGACCTGGTTTTTGAAGCTTGTAGGGGGGGTGGGGAGCGGGGCGGGGGCGGGGTCGGCAAGAAAGAGAGAGAGAGAGAGAGTGGAAAAAAAAACAATACAGAATAAACTCAACAAACAACACGAGATTGAGCACCGAAGGGGCCTGCACCAGGCCGTCATCGGGAGTCACGGTCACGACACAGGTAGATGCGCAGCTGCTGCGTGCTGCGAGCAGCTCTGACCGCAGCACCTTGATGCAGAAGGCTTCCGGGCAATTCTGACAGCCCTCTTCCTTTAACAGAACCCCGAAGCGCCTGTTGGATGCATGTTGGGCCTAGGTATCTTGAAACTGCGTTGTTCAATCCATTGCTCTCTCGTGCTTTCTGGGCACCGCCAGCTCGTTGCGAACCGCGGAAAGGCTGCTTTCGTGCTCCTGGCCAGGCTCGGACTGGCCAGGCTCGGAGCTTCGGTTCGACTACGTTGGATGAGTGTTAGTTGGTGGCTATTGTGGCTCCATATTTGTCGGACTCCTCCTTCAGCTCACTGACCTTGTCATAGCAGGCCTTGAGGGCAATTCAGGGCTCTGGGGAGCGGGCTAGGAATTCTGAAGTCTACATCAAGCCGCATGGAAAAATCCCACGTCCTACCGCATACTACAGCAACAAGGTTGATGTCCAGAAATGTCTTATGCAGTGTCTTGTCCGTAGCCCAGCCTTGGTGGCCAGCAGCCCGGCCACCACATCACTCTTGTTGATGTCGCCGCGGATCTTCAAAAGACCGTGGACCTTGGAACCACTATAATCACTATAAAGGCTTGCAAAGTCAGAACCATGGCAAGCGGAGATTTGAACAGCCCCTCAAGGGGTCCGGTGGCTTTGGGTATTGTAACCTTAGGGTTGCCGCAGGGGGGCGAGCTCCGTGATGTGCAAGGTGCCGCTCGAGTCGGCATCGATGATTTCAAACAGATTGGCGCGGTCGGGGGGCAGGTCCTGAGAACGCAAACCATTGCTTTACAGGCGTACACAGCGTGGATTGTAACGTTCGGAGTCCGCGTGAACCTGGATCAACTGATTCTTGGCGTTCCTGCGCCCTCCCGCGCCCACTTGCTGGCAGGATGTTGGCATTTGCTTTATGGTGTGAAGATTGGGCCTAACAACTGGCAGCAGGAGAATGATGACCCCAAACGCTGTATGCCTTCGCAGGTCTCTAGCCACTCAAGCCGACGTGTGTGAATACTCGGCAATCTTGCGCCTTTTCACTCGAAACAAAGTGCCTGCGCGTAACACAGTTCGAGGGTACCGATTGGGAGCACACCGCGCTGGCAGTATCGCGGCTCGCAAGTCCTGATGCAAAACTCTGAGAGAGGACGCTGCAGCATGCAAGAGACTACCATCCGCCAAAGCCGGAGGAGCAGACCACGAGGCAAAAACCAACGGGACGGAGATGCGAGTTCCAGTCAAACTTCTGCGCCTCGGCACTTAAGCCACGCTAAAGAAGGCGCCGGACACGACGCTCAGTTTCAAGGTGCAGCACCCACACTCACGCTGCAGAGCCGCAACCGGCATCTGGTAGCGGCGATTCGATGAGCCACCGCATTCAGTGTTTGAGCCCGCGCCCCTGCTGTTCGATGAGCCACGTCCGGCGGACTCGAACAGCATTTCGCTTCGAGATTGAATTCAAGCACGTGTGGCTTCATCGCATGCCTCCAGAGGCTGGTGCGCACAAGAGCAAGTGTGCTTCGACAGAGCAGTAGAGCAAGCGTCAAAGATGCTTCTGTGCACACCTCACACCACTCAGAAGTGCGTCACACACAACACGCCGAAATCATCTAGGTCCAGTATCCAAAGCTTAGGGCCGCCAGCAACGGGATGGTGAATGCAAAGACGGCGTTGCATGTCCCTCAACATTCGGCTAGAGACGAGAGGACGAGAGCGGTCGAGGCTGGCCGAAGTGGCGCCTCTGAGTCCGCCAACTCCGTCCGTATCGGGAGCGCCGATACCAAACCGGCTGGCCAAGGAGTTCCTCCGGAGCGCCGAGCAGGGATGTTGCCACCTGACCGGACCTAGTGGCTACTCCGTCTCCACCGCATGGTCTCGAAGCAAAAAGGTCATGCGCAACGATATCAATGTTGTCAGCTCGCCGAGCCTCGGGTTTGGGCATCAGCCTCAGGCTCGAGAACTGTGTCTCGGGGAGGCAATGGTCCGGATTGATTGCTTGAGCAGTGCTGTGATCCTCGAGCAAATTTCCCTGGTACTCCCCAGAGAGCATCACAAAACAAACAGCAAATGTCTCATCATTCATGCTCAAACTTGCTGACATCCTGCCGAGTGCCTGTGAAGCAGGGTGTTTCATCGGAGATATCAACCGCTCGTACATGTGAGGAGCGACAGATGTCCATCTCCGTCGTACCTTGCCGCCCTGACATGGGCTCGGATGCGTGGTGTGACACAGACTCGGCTTGCCAAGGCCCCACCAATAATGCAACAGCCGATTATGTGTGAAGGTTTTTTGAAAGCCCCTGCGTCTAGCATCCCCGCGCTCCTCAAAACTTTTAAGGTCAAGCCCCCTCTGCCTCTCTGCAGGGATTCGTGCTGGCAGGGGTTTCAGGATTTCTCGGAGTTTCAAGCTTCAGTTCTCTTCTTGTGGATCTAGGCTTCAGCTCTCTGACTTCTTGCGTCTCAGACAGCAGTCTCTTTGATGTGTTGAGTTTATCGTGCCTGGGAAGGGTGGTTCACAACTACGAACAGATTGGCTTGAGCATGAGCCACACTGACAGAATCAGCTGAGTCGTACAGAAAAGGGTCAACAATAGGTTGTAATCTGACTCTGCATACACTTGGCTTCTCATTCTGTGCGGAGTACGGCATCCTGGCTAGCAGCCAGCCATGCACAACTGAAGCCCTGTTGTCCACCCGTCTTTCGTTCCCTCGCCCACATCAATGAAAAAAAAACTATGCCATTGTGCCATGCCTGACAAGGAACCAACTCATCCATGAGATCCTGAACGCGACGGTCCTCTCACAAGCCACGCAAGAGGGAAAATCGCCTTCTTTCTTGTTGGGACCCAATGGCGCAAGCTGTTCATGCGACACAATCAGCACACAAATTTGCTCCAAGCGAGCCATCATATCGGGCTCCTGAATCACGATGAGAAACAACTCCTTCGTGATTGCAATACCTTCCTGGCTCAAGGAATGCCAAAATTTTGGATTTGCTACTAGTACGCTTTCTGGGTGGGTGGCACGGTGCCTCAAGGTGAATGCATATCCCCGAGGCGCGGCTCGATTGCTCCAAAATTGAAAAAAAGTGATGAAGAAAACAAGAAATACCCGGCAAACGCAGGATGCCTTGTTTTTTGCCTCAGCGCGGGTCAAAAAAAATGAGTGCAAAACCCTCCTCACAAGATTTGTCGTCGAGGGTCGTGGACGTCACCATCCGTAAACATCACGTCGCTCTTCCGGTTGGAAATATCCTGCCACTTGTCGCTGGCATCTTCCTTAAATGGCGATCGGGGCTACAGTACTGCCAGAAATGTGAAATGCCAGGAGCATTAAACGCGGTTTGTCTTTAAGGCCATTTTTCTGCACCTTCGTGTAGTGCTGCGCCATTTCTGCTCAGCGCAATTTTCTGGCTCCGAGCAGCGACGCTCACCCGCTGGTACCCGCAATATGCAGCTGTTTTGTTTGAAGCTCAGCAAAAGTTCAAAAAGCCTAAAACGGCATCTCGTCATGCCACCTCATGGCTTGACATGACCTCATACCCAAGCAACACTTAGAACGTGTACAGTAACCGTTCTGGAGTGGTGTACCTGCGCTGAAATTGTTGCGAGACTCTGCGCAACCGGAACCCACAGGCTAAAACCCTTGCCAAGTCCACAGGTTCCCAGGTTCCACTGAGATGCCAGATATTTCTGAGCAACTTCGGCGGTCTAGTGCTTCAACTGGTTCAACTGGCCGCCAAGGCACCATGTCTTGGTACATCCGAAATGCACCAGCGAATTTCTTCAGCAGCTCGCGCGTGATTCGCGCGATCCTAGCAGGGCCAACGAGAGACACAGGCCCTAAGCTCCATCGGCAAGAGGCAGGGACTGTATTCACAGGGGCAAGCTCAGTGGGTTTGTGCATGTTCGTCCCGTCCACATCAACATCTTTGAATGCCTAAGCATTTTTGGCCTTGCGACGCGATTTCTTCACAACGAATCATGCGCAGGAAGCAAACCTTATTTTTGACTTTTTACCCGGAATATCCATCCGAACCATGTTGAGCGCACAGCAGGAGCGGGCATACGGCAAAAGACGCAAGAAGCAAGGATGATGTCAGGGCGCAGTGTGGCAAGATCGGAAGCTGCTGAAGGCATGAGTTTTACAGAAGGAATCAGGGTTAGTGCCAAATATGTCCAAGGATTAACTCGAGCAAGCATCCCGAGAAGATGATACTTCTATCATAGACAGAAAGACTCTCGAAGATGCGCGACAGATTATTGAGTTGAACTTCAGCGCTCAAGAACGATAGACGAATCCCCTGCAGTGGACCGTGCACGGGCAAGAAGACTTTAAGATACCAAAACTTAGGGAGCAGGGCGCCTCGCAACGAAGGCACGGGCGCAAAAGCAACACCCCAAAACAAATGGGGCCAGAGAATCGGGTCAGGGAAACGTAGGAAAGCGTGGCAGCCACAGCGAAATCGTATCTTTTCACCACCCCAGCGGTCGCCAAAAGGAAGCACATCGGGTCACGATTTTGCGACGGCCATCTGATGAACATGCGGGTGCACGTGCTGCTTAGTCATTCCCACACACTGTTAGCATTGACGTAGTCATCGTGCGCGGGCATGGACGCTCTGGCCAGACGCACGAAGTGGTAGCATGGACGTACAAACAGGCACCCGAGTGAGCAAGGGTTGTTCTTCCCGCCAAGCCTCAAGGAGGCACAAACCTTGCACATCGCCAGTCTCGAGCACAAGACGGACACCTAGTAGGACCTAGACCTAATCCCAATTCCGAGATAGCTTACATAAACCCCAAAAGTGAAGAAGAGAGGTGCGGTGAACACAACAGCAACACAAGCAACCAAACGAACAGCAATTAGGACCAAACGCAACGCAAGAGAGCCAGGCCCAGTGCCTGAATAAGTTCCCAGGCGACGGTGAGAGAAAGCTTCGCCACGCAGAAATTGACCAAGAACCGTGGGGCTACAACGCGGCTAAAACTGCGAGAAAGCACTCCCAGGAAATTGGCCGCAAACCGGCACCACTAAGATGATGATTACGTCCATGTTGCCACTGCTTGCGAATGCACGGGGCTAAACCCTGAGCCCACCCCTGACTTTCGAGGGTATGATGCATTACAGGGCTGCGGCCGGACTCGCTACGGAGAACAGGGGCCCGGATCAGTCACAAAACAGGAGCCTGGATCGTCGCAGAAGCGGCCCCGCATCGCGCCAGAAAATGCCCCCCAAACCATACCGTACCAACCGTGCCAAACCCCCCCCCCCCCTCCCCAACCATAACCGTACCGTACCATCCAAACCCCCCCCCCCCCAAACCATACCGTACCGTGCAAAACCCCCCGAACCTACCTACCATAACTGTCCCAAGCCCCCCCCCCCCCAAGCATACCGTACCGTACCGTACCTGCCAAAGCCCCCCCCCCCCTCCCCCGTGCCAAACTCCCCCCCAAACCATACCGTACTGTACCGCGCCAAACACCCCCAAAAACAATAAACCCTAAACACCGAAACCCTAAAAACCCTAAACCCCTGAAAACCCTAAACCCTAAAAACAAACCCTAAACCCAAATACCCTAAACCCCAAAACTCCAAACCCGAAAACCCCAAAACCCCAAAACCCCAAAACCCTAAAACCCCAAAACCCTAAAACCCTAAACACCCGAAACACCGTAAACACCCTAAACACCCTAAACACCCTAAACACCGCAGACCCTAAAGAACCCTAAACCCTAAAAAACCCGAAACCCTAAAAACCCTAAACCCCTCAACCTTACAAATCCTAAACCCTAAACACCCTAAAAACCCTGAACCCTACAAGCACCCAAGCCCTAAAAACCCTAAACCCTCAAAAACCTACCCTAAAGCTACTAAAGCCTAAAAACCCTAAAAACGCGAAACCCTAAAATCCGCCGAGGCCTTTATTTGGCTTTTTTTCCCTGCAATGGGTACCCCCCGCGAGGCAAACGAGGATGGCAGCGCGGACGCGGTACAACAGGACCAGGCAACTTTGGGCTTGACACACAGGGGCCCCCCCCGCCCCCGCCCCCGCCCCACCCCCACCCCCCCCCCCATGCCTTGGACGCTCTATTCTGCGCGTGCTCTTTGTTTTCCATGGATTCTTCCCGAAAACCTCTCTCAAATTGGGCTTCAATGCGGAAGGCGTGCTATCGGATCGCTTTTTGGCGAAAGAGGCCGCGAAGAGGAGACGGTCAACGGAGGAGGGTCGGACTGAATTTTGACGGGAGGCCAGGGAGACGACACGGTCAAGGGAGGGGGGTCGGAACATTTTGCTGGGAGAGGGGCGTGGCGCGGGGAGGCGTGGACCATGCACATCCGGTTGACGGACGGGTTCGGGGGGGCAAGGAGGGGGGAGCGCGGATGGGGAGCCTGACATTCGGTTCAGTGTGTGATGTAGAGGGCCTTCCGCCCGATCCGCGAACGCCCTCCACGCCCTCCGCGCCCTCCGCGCCCTCCGCACCCTCTGCACCCTCCGCACCCTCCGCACCCTCCGCACCCTCCACTCCTCCACGCATCTCCACGCCCTCCCGCGCCCTCCGGCGCCCTCCGCGCCCTCCGCGCCCCCTCCCTCCGCGCCCTCCGCGCCCTCTGTCCCCTCCCTCCGCGCGCCCTCCGCACCCTCCGCTTCCTTCGCACCCTCCCTGCCCCCGCCCAGGACACAGTGTACTGAGCTAAGGGTGCATTGCGTCTATTCTGCGGGTGCGTTGCATCTATTCTGCCGGTAACCTGGCCCCTCGTTTGGAGGGGTCATGGCAGATGGGGCGTCACTGGTGCAGGGTTGCCCCCCAAGCTCCGCGTGGTCACCTGCCTTTTAAACCTGGTGCGCAGCACGTCGCACTATGCGTGTCTGAAGCATAGCATCTGGCGTTGAGGCATGACGCGGCTACATGCGTCCTGGCCAAACTACCGAGCGCAACTTCTTGCTTGACACTTTGGATGGGCTGCATGCTCCACAAGCTCAGGGGGCTGCACTGGGCCAGGCCGAGGTCGCGTAGCGTTAAAATCAAAAACCTCAAACCCTTAAAACCGGAAGCCCAAAAACCCTAAACCCTAAAAACCCTAAAAACCCTGAAAACCCTGAAAACCCTGAAAACCCTAAACCCTACAAACACTCAAAACCCTAAGAATCCTCAACCCCTTAACACCCTAAAAACCCTTAACGGCCGAAACACCCTAAACACCCTAAACACGCTAAACCCTAAACAACCCTAAACCCTAAAATACCCTAAACCCCTAGACCCTCAAATCCCTAAACCCTAACACCCTAAAACCTAAAAACCCTGGACCCTAAACACCCTAAAACCCAAAAATCCCTAAAAACCTTAAACACCCTAAACATCCCTAAACCCTAAAAATCCTAAACCCTAAAAAGCCCTAAACCCCGTGATCCGCGCCTGCTTTTGTGACTTATCCGGGTCCTTTTCTGTGACTGATCCGTGTCCATGCTTGTGACGAGGCGCGCCACTTTTAGCGCACGATCCGTGACCCCCGCACGCTGAGACGCATAACGCTCTTGCGTTACAGGCCATGGGTTTCGCATTTAAGTGAACCGCGCAACCATACTAGCAAAAACCGCAAGATTTTCGAGTAAACTGAGTAACCACGTCGACATGAAAGTTGTTGTTGGCTTTCGAACCACCTTCAGAACAACACACAAATAAGACACGCCAAATCACAGAAAATACCGCGCCTGCCATGCTTTACGTTTGAAATCAACACTTTGCCACGTCTTCGTGTTCCCGTTGTGGCAAAACGCTTACTTGTAAAACATGTACGACCGTTACCGACCCGTGCGCTTGTTTTCCCTCCACTTTAAACCCGTACTGGGGCCTGATTGATTCCTTCGAGTGCTGCTCAATTGTGACGGCATCATTCTCCTTGGCGGCCTGCATGATGACAGGGTTTAGGGTTTAGGGTTTAGGGTTTCGGGTTTCGGGTTTAGGGCTTGGGTGTAGGGGTTGGCCAGTACTGCATTATTCTGCTTTTCATTAGAAGCAAGCGTTTGGGATAGGAACATCCGAGATGAGAGCATCCAATATGAGGGCATCTGACATACGAGCATCTAAGGCCATGGCTTCCCTTCTGTGCATTTGCTGCTTGCGGGAGGCACTCCCATGTATGTGAGCTTCGCAGAAACTTCAGTGCAGATAATACATTAGTCTTTTTGAGGGAATGGACGTCCCAGACCGCTCCTTCATGGTGATGTCCACATACACCGCCAGAATCCTCAACTTGTAGTAGTAGAAAAGAATTCGCCAGCTTGTGCAAGTATGGGTGCATGAGACATTCTTGTGCTGATGCAATTAAGAAAAAGGCCATGCGAAGTGACAGGAGGACACTCACACACACTGCACTCGAGCCATGGCGCACGTTGAATATACCCATGGACACCAGCATATAGCTGGCAACGTAGGAAAAAATGAAGGAGACTCCAAACTCACTGGCCAGAATTGACTGTAAAGGTTGCCCTTCGTCATCGGTGCACTCACCAGTGGCACAGCGGAAGGCCGTAAACATCGAAGATGGAATCGTGTTGAAGAACTTCGCCAGACTTCGGACAGCAATGTCGTCGCTGTCGCTCAAGCTTTGACCTGAGAGAAGAGAGAGAAAGAGAGAGAAAGAGAGAGAAAGAGAGAGAAAGAGAGAGAAAGAGAGAGAAAGAGAGAGAAAGAGAGAGAAAGAGAGAGAAAGAGAGAGAAAGAGAGAGAAAGAGAGAGAAAGAGAGAGAAAGAGAGACAAAGAGAGAGAAAGAGAGAGAAAGAGAGAGATAATTCAGAAAAAGAGAGAAAAAGAGAGAGATAAATCAGAGAAAGAAAGAGAAAGAGAAAGAAAATCCGCCGAGGCCTCGGGCCGAAGGTGTATAGGTTGTGAGAACAGGCACCCCCCTCCAAAGCCTCCCCCAACCTCAAAGCCCATTTTCGGACCCCTTTTTTGCCAAATGGGTAGTGCCCGAAAAAACCGGGCTCTGCAAGCGCACGGTTCGCCAGCACCAGAGCCTGCCCCCCGCGCCCCCCCCCCCCCCCCCCCCCCCCCCCCAGCGACTCGAGCGCTGCGGAATCACCATGCTCACGCGAATGCGCTGGGCCGGGCCGAGGCGGGTCGCGTAGCGTTAAAATTCAGAGAAAGAGAGAGAAAGAGAGAGAAGAGAGAGAAAGAGAGAAAGAGAGAAAGAGAGAAAGAGAGAAAGAGAGAAAGAGAGAAAGAGAGAAAGAGAGAAAGAGAGAAAGAGAGAAAGAGAGAAAGAGAGAAAGAGAGAAAGAGAGAAAGAGAGAAAGAGAGAAAGAGAGAAAGAGAGAAAGAGAGAAAGAGAGAAAGAGAGAAAGACAAGGAGAAAGATCAAGAGAGAGAGAGAGAGAGAAAGAGTGCGAGAGAGAGATAAGGGAGAGAGGCCACAATCCTTACCCACAAGCACCATCGGCTCGTGGAGCTCTGAGGCTCGTGGAGCTCGTGGAGCTCTGAGGCTCTGAGGCTGTTGCCGAGTGTCATGGTGGCAAAGCCACTGATGACGTAGAGGACAGTGAAGAGCAATGTGAAGGCCATGACCAGCGTCTTCACTCCAGCAATCAGGCCCTTGACCATGAGACGCAAATCCTTCATAGCCTTGAGGCGAAACACCTTCACAATTCGTACCTGCAAAGCTGCATTGAAACAGCTGAAACAGCTGATGAGCTGATGACAAGCCGACTGCAGCTGAACTCGGAAGCATGTCTATCACGCGGGCATCCTCCATAACAACCCAGTTGCTAGGCGGATCAGTCTGCAAAAGCGGAGCAGAGATGTGCCAAATACATCCTGGTCACAGCACACATTCTCGGGAACAATGCCCAACAGCAACCCTGTCCGGATGTCCGGTCCGGACCACCCTCTGCCAAAACTGAAGCAACTTATGATAACTTATGCCACCCAGCATCGCCATTGCTGTCCGACACGATTTGGATAATCACGTCCGTTACGCCAGTCAGGCCAAGGAACAAATCAAACATGTTCCACCTCAGGCGATGCAAACTGAAGGTGCTGTAGGCAACCGCAGAAAGTTGATCTTCGCGCAAAACTCCACCAAAAAAGTGGAACAAGTTCGTGATTTGTCATTTGAAGCCTGGCTTGGGGAGACCAGTGGATTCTATATGCAGACCATTGCAGGCCCCAATACCAAAAACCCCCATTAAATAAAGGGTAGGGGATCAAAAAATGCATTTAGGATCAAAAATAATATATTTCTAGGCGGATCCAAAAAAAGTATTTGGGATCAACAAATAATTTACTGAAGGCTTCGAAGGCTTCTTGCAAGCGGAGCGGAGGCTGTAAACGCTCAGAAATGCAGCAGTTCTGGCCGCTCGCAAGCTCTAAATACCGAAAAAACACAGCATTTATGCGGGAACTACTGAAAATAGCAGCATGTCTGAGTTTCCAGAGAGGCTGCAGATATTGTATGTAGCAGCAGCTCTGCGCTTTCAGAGGCTGGAAATACTGTACACTGCAGCATTTCTGAGTTTCCAGAGGCTACAAATACTGAAAATAGCAGCATTTCTGCGATTTCAGAGGCTGGAAATACTGTAAATAGCAGCATTTCTGAGTTTGCAGAGGCTGCAAATCAATGCTGGCATCTTGGCATTAGAAGTTTCAAAAAAATGATGGGTATTCTGGCATAGTATTGTGGAAGATTCTTGTACAATATTGTATAACACTGTATATTCTTGCATATTATTGTACATTGTTGTATGTATATTGTTGAATATTCTTGTATTGTCTTGAATTTTCTTGTGTTTTTGTATAATATTGCATATTATTGCATATTTTTGAATGTTTTTGTATATTGTTAAAATTCTTGGTTTTGTTCTCTTTTTTTGTAGGTTACTGTATATTATTGTATATTATTAAATTTTCTTTGTATATTATTGCAGATTATTCTATATTATAGTATATTATTGAATATTCTTGTATATTATTGTATACTCTTGTCGACTACTGTATATTATTGAAATTTTGTACACTTTTCTATATATGGTTGTATATTAGTGTATGTTATTGTATATTTTCGTATATTATTGTATCTTGTTGTCTATTATTGAATATTGTTGTCAATTACGGAAAATTATTGTAAGTTATTCGTTTTTTACGTGAAATTTGCTGCATATTCTTGTACATACTTGCACATTGTTGTGTTTTTGCGTATTATTGTATATTGCATCTTTTTGTAATATATTCTCGTATATCATTGTATCCTATTGTGTCTTCATGGTTTTGGCAAAAAAGTGCTCGCATGCATCATGGGATTGGAAGGATTCATGTGCTTTGAAGCAAACGTGCCCGGACTAAAAACAGCGGAGGGGTTGGGGGGGGCGCACCTCCCCCCCCCCATTTGCAAACACAACGCTCGCATCATTGGTTTGGAAAGGATATTCATATTTGCTTTGTAGCAAGCTTGCCCGGCTTTCAAAAACAGCGGGGGGTTTGAAGCGGGGGCGCAGACCCCCCCCCTTTGCAAACACAATGCTCGCATCATGGGTTTGGAAGGGATTCATACGCGTTGAAGAAGCTTGCCCGGCGCCAAACAAACCAGAAATATGTATAGTGCATTATGAATTCTATATCAAATAGCAGTAAATATATACATATATGCTTTGTTATTTCGATTTTATATTATTTTTTTATGATACAAAAGTATACTATACGATATTGTGGTCTATTCTACTCTATGCCACTATAATATTTTGTTATACTTGTTTTAACATATACACACACATATATATATATATATTATATCATATGATGTTATGTTATGTTTTCCTACATATCCTTTCCTGTCCTTTCATTTCCTTTCCTTTTCTTTCCTTGCTTCCTTGCTTCCTTGCTTCCTTGCTTCCTTGCTTCCTTGCTTCCTTGCTTCCTTGCTTCCTTGCTTCCTTGCTTCCTTGCTTCCTTGCTTCTTTGCTTCCTTGCTTCCTTGCTTCCTTGCTTCCTTGCTTCCTTGCTTCCTTGCTTCCTTGCTTCCTTGCTTCCTTGCTTCCTTGCTTCCTTGCTTCCTTGCTTCCTTGCTGCCTTGCTTGCTTGCTTCCTTCCTTCCTTCCTTCCTTCCTGCCTGCCTTCCTTCCTTCCTTGCTCTTCCTTCCCTCCTTTTCTCCCTCCCTCCCTCCCCTTCCCTCTCTCCGTCGGAAGAACAGAATAAATTATTTCTTGATCCTAAATAAATTGTTCTTTGATCCTAAATAAGTTTTTGATCCTAAATATCTTTTTTGATCCGCATCCCTTAAATAAACGCCGTATATTTTCATACTTGCTTTATTGGGGGCGCTTTAGTGCTGCAAGTAGAGCCCCACCATTCTTGTACATCACCAACTCCAAAGGAATTGGCTCAAGAAGATGTGTTCCCAGAACAGCAAGCGAAAGTAAGCGAACTAGGCCATCTTGACCAAAAGGACGTCAGAAATAGGCCGTCTTGACGAAAAACACAAAGCCTCAAAAAACTGCTGAGTAAAGGGATTCTAGTTTGCACGCATCATTTTAAGTCAGGCAATCTAGGAGGTGCGGTGGGGGGCTTGGGGCATGGTCGTGGTTTAGGGGTGGTGTATGGGTGGTGGGGGTGGTGTCGTTGTGGCCAAGTGGTCTGGTAGTCTGCGTGGTTGTGCGGTGGTGTGTCGGTGTCGCGTAGGGGTCTGGGGGGTCAAGGGGTGGTCTAGGGCTTGTAGTGGTGATGCTGTTTGGTGTTTCAATACACGGTTTAAGCAGTACTCTGATACTACGTCCGTGCCTGGGGAGATGGCCACTTCTAAAAAACGTCACCGTATGCCAGTCGTGGACACTGCGGAGAGCGAGCGGACATATTGGACAGGGGGCAAAGTAAAGAGTGCGAGGTGGGCCTGCCCTGGCCAGGAACGGCTCGCAATCCGTATCGAAGCAAGCCATGGCATCTCCCCAGAGGAGTGCAACGGGCCACTCATCTTCCTTTCCCCTGCTGAGGGAAAGAAGATCTGCCAAACGCATAGGCCGGGACAGCCCTCCTCAGCAAAAGGCAGGTTGAGCATCGCCCGAAAGTCGTAATGACACGTCCATGTTCACTATGCAGGGTCGTCGACGATCGGCTTTGGTGATGCCGACCAGGAAGGCCTGGCCGGCATCAACGAGCTTACTCCCGGTTGGTGCACATCGTGGCCGTCCTTGCTATAATGATGATAAGAACGCTAAGAAGGATATGAATGACCACAACATGCCACAACGGTCGTACTAATAAGACGATGACTTTCGCTAGGGCCTTCGGTCCATGGCTCCAATTCAGCTGTGGCTTCCCTGGAAAGCAGTCCTGGTTGTGGCAGGCCGTTTTGGCCTGGATGAACACAGTGGATGGCTGGTGGATGCTGGTAGCGAACGGCCAAGAAAGCATGCTTCGGGGTGAACGTGTTGAAGCAACACATCCATGAAGCTTGATGACACCCTTTGGTCAAGGCAACAGATGCAATGCAGTCGGGTCCGGAGATGGCACTTGGAAGCCAACTAGTTGAAGCCAGACAAGAGGTCACGAATTCGTGACCACCTTGAGTTTTTGGACGACGACCTGGGCCTGTGGTCAAAAGAGCCAATGTCAGTCCACGCCATGCTTTCGTGAACTTCCACACCCTAACAACCTGCCGTGCTCTGCTTCTGGGGCATCCTCCTTTGCGCGGGAGCGCCCACCCCAGAGCTGGGCGACAAGAGGGCGGGGGCCGCCCAGGCATGGTTTGGGGTCGATGCAGCCTTCGGGATTTTAATTTAAGCTGAGGGCGGGGGAATTGGGTTCAAGGGCATTTGGGGTCGGGGTGGGGGGGAAATGGCTCAGCGTTTCAAATCGGGTTTCCGGGTAGGAACAGTTGCTTCTTTGCATCCCCGATGACAAATATTTGCCAGCAGGATGCATGAGCTCATTACCGCTGAAGAAGGTGCGGCCACCTCACCAGGGGAAGTAGCGAAACTAAGCCCGCCTAGCCTAGCCGGCTCTGTTAGCACAACAGCTTCAGTTTGGCTGATCAGAAAAAACTTTGCGGACCCTGTTTAGTAGGTGCACAATGTTCAACTCTCCCTGAAGCAGAGGCTGCACAATGCTCTGCGTGCTTCTGGTGACACATCGAGCCCTTGACCCGCCCGCCTTGAAGGTACATGCGCAGCACAATCTCTAATATCAGGAAGCAAGCAAATGCTGCTTCCACCTTGGAGCAAACTTGCATTCGCCCTCAGATACGATGAGCACAGATTTTTGTTGTCCAGAGCTTGTTTCAGGGAGCCGAACTACTCCAACAGCTCATGACCATGCCAGCCGTCTTTGTGCCATTTGCTTTTTGCTAGAATTGAATAAGGCCACTGGTTCCACTGTAAGGGCGTTTCGATGCTGCAGATGTGCCTGTGAGTAATCCCTGTACGTATCTGTTTGTTTGTCACAGGAACAACTTCTTGACTTCTGCAAGAATGTGATGTCACCCTGCACCTTCTCCTTGACACTCCCTCCACAGTCCAAGTGCAAACAGTGCCACGGCAATCCAGTGCGGCCAATCCTTCCACTGCGGATCTGTCTGGAAGCCGATCCTGAATCGAACGAGGAGCTGTTGCCGTGGTGTCACGCAACACCTCTACAAATTGCAGGCGCAGCGTTTCATGCACCTTGGCGAAGTCCGTTTTGGGTGCAATTACAACATTTACAGTCTCAAGTCTGAAGCAAAGCCATATTCTTGCACACCCTGCGAGCCCAGATACATCACTCCATTGGCGATGATGACGATTGCCACAAGAGGCTCTAGGCACCTTTCAAGTCTGACGGGGGCTCACCCAACTTTCTCAGAAGCTCGAAAGACTCGAAAGACATTGGCCAACAACCTGGGCATCTCTAAGACTGACGCAGGAGGAGGTTCATTGGCTCGGGGGGAGCCGCCAAGTCGTTGATCCTCACGAAGGCAACAGCAGCGTTACTTTAAGGCGCTTCAGGCCAAACTGCCGGCGCCACCGACATGCTACAAAAACCCTTGTCGCACAGATGTCGAATCTGAAGCCAGCGAGAGTGGAGGGCTCCTGACGAAGGTCAGCTCCGCAACGAGCCTGTTTGTGTCCTCAGATCCGGGTTCTCACATGTTCTCATCTTCTCATGACACAGCTCGCCGATCAGCACGCCCGAATACACCAAAAACCTGAGACAGTTGTTTGAGCTAAGCCGAAGTTTTTAGAAGGGTTGTCACCGAAAGCCCTTCCACCGCTTCGACTCATCACATTTCAGGCCGAGCAGCGCCAGCCAGAAGGATCTCTTTCATGGCCTGACGCCAAAGCCAAAGCTTCTCGGGGCAGGTTTTTTGGGCCTGACACCTGGTGAGGCCTGGAACTGCTTCAGCATTCGCGGTCCAAGAACTTTTCGATGAACATCGCCTTCCTGCACAGAAGATCAAAATTACCAAAGAAGCTCCTCTCAAATGCTTCACAACAGCTTGAAGCTGGGAGCGTTCCAGGGAGCACGAAGTAGCACTGCATATACAGTGGAAGCCCGTCGCCCTGTCTCGGTCCCCTGGGTCTCCTGTGCCAGGAACAGGTCCATCAGGGGCTGCGCAGGGACGACATTCAGATGGCCTCACGGCTCTCCGACTGATCTGAGATCCATGCCACTAGGCTCTACTAACGCCCGAGTTCGATAAATGCCCTGAACCTCAAGCAAGAGCCTCGGAAGGATCGTGATCTGAATCCAGCCAACTTCTAGTTCTGAGGGCCCTGAACTTGGATGGGAAACAGGTTTGGCCCGGATCAGAACTCAAAGGAGGTTGGATCAAAAATCCAGCTTCGAGCCCGAAACCGCACGTTCGACCTGGCAACTGCATTCGCAGAGGCTGACCTGGCCCTCTGTGCTCCGATACGGGCTTCACGGACTTTGCAGGCACTACGAGCGCTTTACACCACTGGAGCCGAGCTGCAACGTGCTGGCATGTCCGCAAAGGGGGTGAGGGATGCCTCAGGGCACTCTCCGCTCGCTTACATACGAGACACATGGCTTGCTTTGGTTTGTACCAGTAATGTTTGTATTGGCGACCAGCCATACACAAAGGGCCGTGAAGTGCATGAAGCGCACTTCAACGTGGCACCTTCAGACTAAAGGTTCTTCGCCACGCCCCTACATTCCCTACACCCGCTGTTTGTATCTTCCTCGTTGTGGACAATTCGTGGGCCTTGCTGGTCTGCAGTAGCCAGTTCTTCTTGATTTCATGGCCCAGCACACCCCTCACCACCAAATTACAAAGGCCATTCCAACCCCGACAAGCGCTTCTCAGCCACGGCGCGCTTCGATGGAGCGAGTCACGGCCTCCTCCCATCCTGGGCCATTGCCATACCTTCCCAGCTCGGAGCTTACAGTCTCTCAACCAACGTGTATGGGCTACGGTACAGTGTGGCACAGCTCGTCAGTAGGCAAGTACGGAATGGCTTTCGAAACTTCTGTTATAACAAGCCGCGATCAAAGTTGTGAGTCTGCTAGAGCCTACGGCCTGGCCGCACCGCTTCTGACTCTTGGCGAAAAGCCGACTTTTGGGATGGGGTGAAGGGTGGTTTCTCAGTTGCCACGCTGCCGGCTTGCCCAGGCTGTTCATGGCACTCTCGCGGAAGCCAAACATGTTCGACGACTCACCTTGCAACTGCTCCCTCTCTCTCTCTCTCTGCATGAATGGAACAGCTGTTGCGCTTGGGCAGCACATGGGGGGAGACAGAGAACAGAGAACCCGGGGCTCTGCAGCAGGACGGCTTATCCGCCGGCCCGTCGGAATCTCCACTGAGTCGAAGGTGAGACCGATATAGTCTGCCAAGAGGTTGACAAGCTCATTCATATCCTCGATGGTGTAGCGCGTGAGACCCAAAGAGCTGCCTGAGGGGCCGCAAACATCAGCAAACACAGCATGCACTTTCCTTCGTGGTGTGTAAACCCTCGCACACGGACTGACTACGGAAAGTGTGGGCACATGAGGGTGCTTGGAGCTGCCGTGACTGCACGGTGACTGCACGGTGACTGCACGATGACTGCACGGTGACTGCTGACAGGCCACAGGCATCATGCAAGGATTTGCCTGACACAAGCTTCTTGGCCGTCAATGCTCCCAGTCGTAGACGCAATCTGTGGCGGATTGCTCTGGCCTCTTCTTCGCCTCATTGTCACACCAGTGATGGCATAAGCCGATGGCACAAGTGAAATAAGAAACTTGAAGCAATTCCAAGCACACGGGCAGCCAAAAATGACAAGGCACTCAGGTGCTGCAGGCCAGACTTCAGCGGGTGAGATATCTCCGTGCGCACCGCATCCATCCTGGGCCAGACTTGTTGGAGGCCTTCGGGCTTTTATCCGCGGTGATGTGTGTCAAGCCAGTTATGCTAAGTCGTTATCAAGCATTTTCCTCCTTACAACGGCAAACCCAGACTTCAAGCGAGGCTAGTGCTCTCTGGTCATCCCAGCAAGAGCATCCAACCAAACGCAAATCCCTGCCAAGAAACTCCATGCCGTTCTGTGACCACTCGCTTTCCACGGTTTTGGCATGCCTCTGCAGCAGAAGCGATTGGCAGCTAACATTGAAAAAAACCAGCAGACTCACTTGGTCGCAACCTTCCGCTGCAGAGTGACTCCAGATGCTTTTGCGAAACATCCTCCTTCTCCTCCTTCTGCTTTTTATGGCTGGCTCCGTTCACACCGGTCCGGCCGTTCGAGTTCTCAGATCCCCGGCTATGGCGCGGCGAAGGCCGACCTCAAATTTTCGAAAGCCGTCTACAATGATCTGATGGAATCCACCGATCCTGGCACGTTGTGTTGGATGGTTCTGGGAAGGAAGGAAATCCTCCCCTTTCCTCTTAAGGGTGGGGCTGGCAACAGCTCCCTTAGTCGTGAGAGAACCGACATCTTCTGGAAAAACCATCAAAAGTCTCAAGCCGCCTCCATGCTACCGCTTAAGCCCTGTGGCTTGTGCTGGGAATGCTTGTGGAAGGCTTGGGCAGGTCGTCGAACTGGTGTGCGCCCGCAGCTTCGAACATGGCTTCGCCATTGTCAGGAAACGCCCCAAGCAGTTGAGCCCGCAGGGTATGCAGGGACTCGTCAACGAGCTTGCTGAAGGCCTGCAGGCTGAGTTAGGGGCATGCTTGCACTACGACACAACAAAACGAAGCGGTAAACACGTCAGAACTCCTGATGCTTTGTAACAACGCATGGAAAGCCAGTGCAACAAGAGGCTGTGCAATGAAAACAGGTTTGCAAGCGGTTTAAAAGCGGGCCTGTCTTTTCATGGATGATGTCTTGATGTGCCAGCGTTTGAAGACGAAAGGACTAACAAAGCCTGTGCATGCCGCCGCAGCTTTAGGCTCGATACCAAGATGACTGAAACCCAAGTTGTGCAAACCGTTTGCTTGAGTTGTCTCTTGCTGGGTGGCGGTGTCGCACATTACCAATGCCGACAAAGCTCAACATGTTGCACCGCTACCTACCGCTACCTTGAACAGCTCGAGCAGACGTGCACGTGGCAGCGGCAAGAAGCCTTGGCCCAGCCTATCATCGGCTGCAGGAAACCCCGAATCCATTCTCGCGGACACACAGAAGCTTGCTAAGCCACCACGAAGCACAAAGAAAACAATGAAACAATGGGGGGGGGGGGCCGGCAGGTTGCAGGTACATCCTGATTTGCGGACACTGCAACGTGCAGAGTACAACTTTTGTGCGTAGACTGCGTTGACGGCGCAAGCATGGGGAGGCTCTCACTTTCTTTCGACCAGCGCGTACGCCTTTCCCCCCTTTCCCATCCTTCCTCCTTTGGGGCTTCAAGATGCTCTCCAAAAGCCTTCGCGGCGCAGCTTCTGTCTGTCACATGCTGTCACTGTCCTCATTCCAGACATAAAGGGAATCACAGGTGGCGTAACCCAAGAGGCCAGCGGCAAAGCCAAGTGCCCCGTGAACTGGCGTGCTGCCTATGCTCTGAACCAAAGCATGGACGCCAGTCGCAGGATCCTTCGTCAACTCTCCTGCTTCATCGCCGGTCAAGGCACCGTGGACCACATATAGCTTTCCATCTGCACGGCCGATGTACACGGCACCATCTCCAGTGATAACCGGGGCACTCCACTGCGCAGGCAGACACAGCACACACAGCAGCCGTTCCGAAACGTGTGGGTGATTCCTGAAGTAGACCAAACGTTCTGGATCCCCTGCTGCCAACACGGGCGAATAGGGCTCCGCATTGAACTGCCACAGCAATACTCCGGTATCTGCATCCAGGGCAACCACGCTTCCAGTGTCCAGCGCCTCTTTAGGCCAGGCACCTGGAGCCACAACGACCGCCAAAGAATCGGCACCCTTCACATGACCGACGGCTGGGAAGGTACAGCAGGGATCCTTCAGAATGCGTTCCCAAACCAGACTTCCCGTCTCCAGTGCGAAGGCTCGGACCACTCCCGGGGTTCCCTGAAACCCATTCTCGATGTTGCTACCTTGGGCTGATTCACAGATTCACACACACACACACACCCACACACGGGGTTTGCGGACGGAAAGCTCAGACGAGTCTGACCTTGGCTTGATTAGACTCGCACACTATTCAGCAGTACACCGAACAGCCTAACAGCTCCTATCAAGCCAAGCCCGGTGCGCTACTGCTGCCCTACCCGTGCTGTGCTTGGGTGTATCAAGGCCATAGCTGCACGTGTAGACCACACCATTCGGGCCGATGACCGCACCTCCATCACTGTAGCTTCCACTGCTGTTTGAGTCACCCTTCCACAGCAAAGTGCCATTTCGCAGGCCCACCTTAAGGTTACGCTCTGCAGGGGGCCTAAAGCAAGCCAAAGCCTTACAAGGTTCACAAAGGCTGGAAGTGGGCGGTACACGAAGGCAACTAAGCCATTGCATGCAGAGGTGCGCGATACACGCTTCCATCCTGGCTCATGAATACAAAGCTGTCATCTCCAGGGAACAAAGGGGTAAGGTCTATGAGAACGGCATCCGACTCGTACTCCCAAAGCTTCTTGCCAGTTTCCACCGCCATGCCGAATATCCGGGTGTTTCCCCAAGGTGCTTCTTCCGAGGCGTTTGTCCACCTGCTGGAGGCAACAACGAAAACTCCGTCGAATGCGGCCGGATACGCGGCATCTGCCCCGGCATTGTCAGCCACATGGGTGACCCAAAGCTCCTGCCCTGTTTGCCGGTCAACAGCGAAGATGTTGCCTCGTCGAAAGACAGTGACAAACAAGTCTTTGTCGGCCCAAGGCTTCAATGGGGAAACGGGATTCTGATGCTTGCTATTTCAGAGGCAAGCGGCTGGGCTCGTTTGCAGTGGTCACGTTTTCTGGGTGGCCATTTGTTCGGTGTGTTATTGTCCTCCGTTGTCTTTCTGGGCACGTATGTTTTTAAATGCAACACGTACCTGGAGGTCGGCAGTGGGAGCCCGTGGGAGCATTAGGGGTCTAGGGATTTAGGACTTTGTCTGGCTTGAGTTTTGGAAGTAAGCGCTCGTGAGCATTCAGGGAGTCAGGGCTTTAAAGTTTGAAGTTTTGAGGGGATTCGGGATCTAGTGTGATAAGAGTTTAAGGAAGGGTTTAGGCTTTGCTGGACTTCGTAAGGGCCGGGTCTTGGGCCTTTAGGGGTTGAAGGACTTCAGGGGGTTTAGGGATATTCGAGGGTTTGGGGCATTTGTGGGGTTCAAGGGTTTCAAGGTTTAGGGCAACCAAGAGGGTCAAGGAAATGCCACCACCCATATCCCAACAGAGAGATACTCTCTCAGATTACAGGAGCGCACTCTCTCGCTGAAGCTGAATAAGAAAAGTTGCCCTCTGTGGTCGAGCTGAGCAAGGAGTCGCCAGTCAAGAAAGGCTCGTTGGCAGACTGCCCCGGCGTCTGATAGTGCCAGAGCACTTCTCCAGATCGTGAAAACTTCCAAAGACCATGCTCAGTCATCAGGTACAGGCACTTGTCTTCATCGATTACAGGTCCACCTCGGCTTCACACAATTTCCACACAACCTGAGACACACGACCCACGCCTACGTGTCTCAACTCTGAGACCCTCAAGCCCAGCTCTCTGACCTTTCTCAGTGCCTACAGACGCATAAACCCTTTCGGATCCCCTTGCTTCTTTTTTGGGGGGGATGATAACTTCTCGTAAACTGCATGCTGCAATGCATGATAATGCATGGCACGCAAAGGTGCCTCCCACCATATCCTCCCACTGGCCCTTCGGGTTGTGCCAGCTCCAGCTCGGCGCTTGGCCACCGGGCCTGCGGTCCAAAGTTTCAAAACCTCTATTACTATGCCCCCAGAACCTCAAAAACGAACATACCACATGTGTCAAGTCCCATATCGCTCCATACCATCTTGTGAGAGGGAAATCTGAGGATACAGGGCATATGGAAGACACTGAAGACACCTTCTGGGGACCCTGAAAGCAGTCACAGCGGCATGCGAGAGATGAAGTCCGTGGTTCCGCGCTGCCCTGGCACCTGGCGGTCAGAAGGTGTCAGAACAACCCCCAGTGAAACCGGTAAGAAAGAATCAGCAGAAAGACTCAGCAGAACAGACAGCCTGATGACACCAGGAACAGAACCACAGAAAAGAATGCCGATCTGACCAACACCCGAATGCCCTAAGATGCATCGCAAGTATGCTCAAGAACAGTTGAAGCTAACATGCACTGCAAACATGTACTACACCTTCGACGAAACTGCAGTGAGTTGTGCCAAGAGTGCTGATTCAACACCTTACCCGATTTAATGCGGTGTCTCAGGGAAGGTTTTGAACGTTGCCAAGATTTATAGTGACTTTGTAGCATGCCAAACACTACTCCACGATGACTTTGGTCAATCTCCAACTATCCAAAGCATGCTAGGAGGATGACTGAAGTGAGAAGGGAAGGCGGTCACTGTGGGGGCGAAGGAATGATATGGATTCGTACGGCGAGTCGGGATTTGTTCATGGCTTCGGCAAAGAAGCTCGCCCTGCCAACCCCTCTGAATCAAGGTGTAGGGTGCAAAAGGCATTCAAAGAGTTCTTACGCTTAAGTCTTGGCATCGGCGCGTTCCGGCTACGAGCTGTTTCTCAAAACACAACATGAGACGCGCAAACCCTATTGGCGACCTTGCCCCGCGCATGGGGCCATGGATGTTCTCTGGGACTTGCGTGGAAGGCTCGCATGGACAGGTCCACCTCTGTGGCGAAGCATCCACTCATACGCACTCCGGGAATCCATCTCTCTCTCTCTCTCTCTCTCTCTCTCTCTCTCTCCTCTGACCAAATTAAGTTAGTTTTGGCTTTCTCTTCCGTTGAGATCTCCCTCTCCCCAAGAGAGCGCCTGAAGGAGCTCCCCGCAGCTGCCCTCCTCACAGGCGCGTGCAGCTGCCAGAACAAGGAGGCTCCGCATCATCTGCATCATGGCCAGTCCCGAGCAGCTCTACATAGATCTACATGTTTACAAACGGCTTGTAAAGCAGGACAAAGCAGGACAAAGCTGGTTGGCTTTTGGCTTTTGCTGTAGGGGCTTTTGCAGACTTCTTGCTGCTGCTCCCTCGGGGTTTTTCGGAGCGAATACAGCAGCCAACGCAGCCGAGCGAGATGCACTGCACGTATCTACACTCCATTACGTCACTCACCCCACTTGGGGCCACAGAGAACAGCCCTCATGATTCCCCCTTGATGAGAATGCATTGCCCCCTCCAAAACATCTTGTGCTTCAGACACGAGGTTCAGGGCGGACAAGGAGATAGGAGGATATCAGGGCCGAGTTGTACCGTGACCTTTGACTACTATGGCACCACCGAGGCAGGAAGTAGTGCTGGGTCTTGCACATCCCGGGTCACATGGAATGACATGGATCACGAATCTTCTTTTGCCTAACCTGAAAACCGGCATAAGCGGGTCAAGGAAGCAGTCACTGGGTTGAAGAATGACAGGACACAGAAATTGAATCATCGTACGTGCAGCATGTAGGAGTGAATGTGCACGTCAAAAGGAACGTTTCAACTAAACCAGATAAGGAACGTTTGTTCGAGAAACTTCCAGGGGTAGACAGTCCGGGCAAGTCAAGTCCCACTCAATTTCTGAATCAACCACTTGAGGCTTCTTTCTGTGTATCTTGTTTTGTTCTTGCTTCGAAGCTCAGATCTGAGTCTAATTCTGCAGGTCCTCTTTGGGACCATGAAGCTACAATGCCATGATGGTAGTGTGATAGCTTCATGTATTATGCACTGGCTTGCAGGAGGCGCACTGCCTAAAGATGAGAGGAAGGGAGGAATCAAGGGGCTCGCATCAGTCATTGATGCTGCAAAGCGAAGTTGGCTCGACGAGCTCGGCAAACTCCTCGTGCAGAGCTGGATTGATGAAAAACCGAGCGCTAAACGGCAAGGCTGCACTCGAACACCATGGCCTATTTTTTGAGACGTATGTTCCCGAAATACGCAAATTGCTGTGAACTTGCCACCTCGACGCTAAACATCCTCCTCGGCCTGGGGCTTAAGGTCCCTGGAAGGTCATGGAAGGTCCGTCGCATGCGTCCTAGATTGTCCACGAAGCCAAATGCGTTTACAACAAGGTCACAAACCTTGCACGGGCCAAGACTGCATCAGATTGTCTTACCCGCAGCCGACATCTCTACGTCCAGCAAACTTCGGGGCACATGCACCAGGACTGCAAAACAAGCAGCTTGAGCGCAGTCAAACTCCACCAGGGAAGATTGGTATTCGCTGAGCTTGGTGATATCACTTAACTTGACTTATATAACTTGTGGGTTCTCCCAGCGAAAGTTAACACGCGACAGCGCTCGCTCTCCGAGCGGCACGCAGGGCACACACAAAGACACACGGGCAAGGCAGTGACGAAAGCGCACGTGGGGCAGATGACTTGCCAAGGGCTACACAACATGTCGTTGAATCCCGAATGTTGTGCCCGCTTCGATCTTCCGCTGAGCTGCCCCGAGCAATGTGCAGATGTAGGGCTCGGCCAAAGCTTGCGAACTGTTCCGCCCTCGTGCTTGATTTAGCTCGTGACAAGAGGTTCGGGCGGTCAGGGATGTGCTCTTACTGGCCCGTATGCCCTTGCATGCTTACATGCCTCCGTCCAACCTCGTGCTGCTTTGTGGACCCTTGTGGTCTGCAGGCCCTTCCATCTGGATAAAAATTCACTGTAAGCAACGCCACATGGCAATCACAGGTCTGCAGCCCGAACGGGCAGCACAACTTCTGGACTCCGGGAGTCTGATCGCTGAAACTTGAACATGCTTCCAAGCATGCCGCGCATGTGGACTCAAAGTTGTTCCTTTCGCAGCTGTCGCATTCACGTGAGCCCAATCAAAGAAGCCCCGTCGCCTATCACCCAAGGGCTCCTTGTCGTACAGCCTGCCAACGATCTCCACGATCAGCAATGCCTCTCTTCAAAGTCTTAGGGTCTTAAGGGCTTAGGGAGAGGCCTGCGTGATCGTGATCTTGACCAATGGTGAGTGATGTGGCACAAAACATCGCTAAAAAAACACATCACCAAAGGATAAACAATGATCAACGTGTACACTCGCCTCCGACTGGTTCGGGGATTGGGGCGTATGGGCCATGCAGGACAACTGTTCTCTGCTCCATCGCATAACGTTTATCCTCTTGGTCGCAGTTGCTGAGGGTGCCGCCGTGGAGACGGCCATTACGCACCCTCACCAAACACATGGAGCAATCAATGACACCCTCTGTGTTGCAAAGGCATGCATACTGCGACACAGAGCCTAGCATTTGCTAAAGAAGAAACGCAGAATCTACTCAAAAGACTTACAAACTTAGTAAAACTTAAGCATAAACTCTCAAAAAAGGCTGTTCTCGACTGTTCAAGGCTTCAAGATGCTGCGATGCCTATGGAGAGCACCGGCGGCGACTGCCGCCTGGCCCCCTCGGGAAGAACAGTGAGACGGCATGTGCGAAAATCCACCCACTCATACCAAGTCGTAAGTAGCTTCTTCCATGGCATTTGCCCCGGGTTGCCTGTAGAAAGGAGTGAACCAGGTAGTGCCCCAGCAGGGTGCAGCCAAAACCTAGCTCCGAGGTTCGGGCATCGCTGCATGCTTTTGCATCGTGAGGCTGAGGGCCGGTTCCCAGCATGAAGCACATGGAACCGTAGCTCGGCTCCAGCAGGCCAAACACCTTGGCTTCTGCAGTTTTTGCGCAGTGGAACACAAGTGGAACACAAGCGCAGGGAAGTGTTTTCAATTACTTTCACGTGCCTGAACGAGCGTGAACGATGCCGTGTCTGACGTTGGATTGTTTTTTCTTTCAAAAAAGTCACCATGCACCTGGAAGGACACCGCTGTAGCCATGGAGGTGAAGAGGATCCTGGGAGGCCGGCCGAAGGCCGAACATGGAGGCTCCCAGTCTCTAGCACACCATTTGCGCACGCAAACGTTTAAGCCGAAGTGTCATCGCTGCTGCAGTGGCTGATGCAACTTGCGGCGCAACACCAAGCTCCAGCATCAACGGCCTGGAAACTGAAAAATCTGTTGGCTCAGTTGTCTCCTGATACGTCAAGGCTTACAATACAACAACTTCCGCTTCCGAGTGCTGGGCCCCTTGATGATGCCGCCTCGCACTCGTGACTTAAAGCGGGCACAAATGTGTCACCTCGCCTTCCGCTCATATCCCGAACATGCCAATATGCCACATAGTAGGGAGTGGAGGCACGCCATCATTCGCTGTTGCGGCATTAACTTGGCATAAGCACATCTAAACATACATTAAAATGGCATGCACACACCCACACACACACCCACACACACACACACACACACTGCGGAACAACCAGGCTTGGCCCCAGCGGGGCTCGCCTCCAACACCAAAGAGGCCTGCGAGGACGCCCGCAAGACTGCAAAGCAGCGGGTACCTGGCAGCTGTCGATGCCTTCGTTCTGGAAGCCCATGCTGTCCAAAGCATTACAACAAGTCACAAAAAAGCTTCCCGAAACTTCCTGATGGTCGTGGCTGAGGTCCAGCGAATCTCCGTAGCCGCGAACTCATGGCCATCCTGGCAGCAAGGCTTGCTGTTGAGAAACGGAGATGAGGCCGCCGCCATCCAGCAGACACACATGCAGACCAAGGGTGCCTCTTAATAATGCAGGGCTCTCATTTGAGAGGTCTCTTTTCTGTCTTCATTTTTGAACTTACCCCCCTCATGGGGCTAAGAAGTTGCCCGAAAAATTGCAAGACTCCGTGCAGCCTTCCTTCTTGACTTTCCACAGAATGTGTTGCAGCCTGGTTTCCTCCTTGCTATTCCAAAGTCTTGCCCCTGGGTCGATGTCAGTACATGCACTGCCGGCAACTGTCAAAAGCAAGAAAAGTGCTTGGTCACGTGTGCAGACGCAAGACAGCACAGGCTAATCTGAGAAAGAGCCTCTTCCTTGTCCATGTTTTCGTTTATCAGCATGTCCCTAAAGATGAGGCCTGCGCACGACTTAAGTCACCTTGTGGGATTTGGGATGCTTCGGGCACGTGCAACGCTCTCGTTGGGGCGGACCAAAGCCAAGCACCCAAGGAAGCTGCGCCCAGCTGAGCAGCCAAAAGCTGCCAGATCCACACGCAACGCCTGCAGCTTTGAGAGGCGCCATCTTCCGTGGCAAATCCGGCAACATCCGGCAACATCCGGCAACTGTTGCGCACTCCGTCAATGCAGTCAATCCAGTCGAACAAACTGCCATGGAGATGCCGTGCAGATACGTCTGCGCCTACGATGGATCCATGGCCGCCGCCTTTCAGCACCGTCAAGACCTGAAGGGCACGTGTACAAAAATACCGAGCAAAAAAAAACCAAACAAAGACACACACAAATTGCAGCAGCCTGAGCCCCAAGCCACGCAACCCAGGAAACAGCAGACAAGCAAGCAGACCTGCATGAATCCAGCGCTTCGACCGCAGCACACGGTGGCACAAACTGGGACCACTAGAACACAATCAGTGCGCAGCCCCTCTCGTGATTGTTCGACTGCTCTTGCCTTCACCCAGGGTGTCCCGGCCCCTACCGTACGCAAGCGTGTGTCACCAACGAGGTTGCGTGACCTGGGGCAAATTACCCGAGTTCGGCACATTCCGCTACGTTCCGCTACACGCCTTGTGCAAGGAACATCTGGGAGGCTGACTCCTTTGGCTCGTCGTCGGCATCGCTTACCTCCTACCACCATGGGCCATTGCACCCTTGTGTCAACTCAAACCTTCCCTGCGCCTCCGGCAAATCTACATCTTCGTGCTGCGGCACTGCCTGGAGCTCCGCATCCTGCCCAATGAACTGTTGAGGGATGTTGATCGTCGCATGGGCGCTACCCTCCCGATCGCGCCCACCCACGCTAGCTGCTGACTTAATATAACAGTGCAGTAATTTAGCGAAGCATCAGACTTGCACGAGCTTTTGGTTTTTCATCGCAAATCGGGTATATCTTTGGAGTGATTTTTTGAGGAGTCAGGACCTGTAGCAGTTTCCATTCCTAGCCCCCCCTTTCAACCTCCCATGGGCCGTTATTCACCCCCTATGAACCGAGAAGCAACCAAGCTTGTCGAGATTGCTCCATGCCGTCCCAAGGACCACGGGTTGCGCAGTGCTAAATGTGCGGGTCCTTCGCATTCTCGTGGTGGAACATTTCCAGTCCCTGTCAACACATGCACACCAAGTACTGTTCAAGAGGCAAAACCGGGCGACAAAACACCGCCAGCGCTTGTGTGCACCAAACTGGCTGAGCAGACCGGAACAAATCGGAACAAATGACGCTAAACAATTCTGCCCACTTCTTTGTGAGAAGTGCCATGCATGTCGACAAGCAGTTGGGGTCATGGGGCGACTTTTTTCAGTGACCCTGGTACCTACAAACACAAGAAGACAAAAGTCCCATTGCAGCTGCTGCCAGAGTACCTTGTCCAGAGTGCGGAAGGATAAGAGCGCAAGCACGATGGCCAGAAATCCCTTCAGTAAGCTCATAGGCAAGGCTTGACAACTGCAGACTCACTCAAATGCACTAACTTGACATGCAAAATCCGACGCAGCCAGGCAGAAACGCTCTGCTGCAGCAATGGCATGCCTAGTATCGCCTCTGATCTAACTAAAGCGTAGCAGATTTCATTGAAAGACATTGCTACCTGCTACCTTCAAAAGGGTACCCGGCCAACAGCACTGTTTGCTAAAGCACTGTGATAGGCACCCTCTTCTCAGCTCAGTGTTTCGATGCTAGGCATGCTGCCATCAGCACAAAATCGGCAAGATACCTTGGCGGCTTCTCGGATCTCGGAACAGGCGTGAGTGTGGAACAATCTAGTCAATGTAGTCTCATGTAGTCTGAGACCCAAACTTCGAGGCAAAGGAGCCTAGGACGGTCCCGGCGAGCGTCGCAGGCTCCTGACACAACTCAGAAACTTAGTGGAAATCAGTGGAACTCAGCGGAGATCAGTGGAACTCAGAGAAACCGCGCAGCTCGGCTCCATCATCACGATGATGTCCCAGTTTATCAGCGCTCTGCCATTCCTTGTGTTTTGAGGGTGTTTTCCAGATGCCGATTCACCGCACTGACAGATGCGCATCTGCCTAAATATGTTGTCTGTTGCCACTGCTGAGGTCTTCCACAGGTCTGCTGCGCAGGCGGCACTCTCGCAATGCGCCCAAGAATCTCATCGGACTTCGGGGCGTTCAACGCAGTGTTGGCGAAGGCCCCTGCCCGCGGATCGAAGATTGCACAGGGACATGGGCTGTCTTCATGATGCAGCCCGAAACAGCCTCCGAGAATCGTGAAGTTTGACAGTGCCACGGCGTGCTTTGGCCCTCGGACGTCTCGGGAGGGTGGCTTTCTGGTGGCTTTCTGCAACTCGGTCAAGGGTGTCTGGGGCACAGTACGGAAGCGCAAGAAGATCATGTACAATGGTACCTTCCACGCAGTTCAGCACATGAGCGCGAGCAGAGCCAAGCAGAGAAAAGCAGAGGCGTGCAAGGATTCCACCCCCACCAACGCCGCCACTTGCAGCCACGATGAGTCCTCTGAGTTTGCAATTTTTCAAGTATGGCTTGGAAGAAGCAGTGAGGCAGTATGTGATGATTACGCCTCGCTTTTTTTCGCTCTTCCACAGTTGCGAAAGTCGGCGAGCGATGCAGCATCTTTAGACTCGAAATTGCTCAGGCGACAATCGCCACAGCAGAAGCAACAGTAGCAGCGGCAGCGGCAGGACTTTCATGGCATCCTGCGGCGGCCACAGCAAAGCAAAGGACATCTGCCTCAGTTGCAAGGTCTTGACACGCTCCCCTCCGCCTCTGTTCGGCACTGGCCAGTGTTCAGCATGGCATGGGACTCAAAAAGGTTTTCTATCATGCTACGGCATTCGCATAAGCGCCTGGCCATGTCAGGCGGGAACAGCCCCTTAGAAACAAAGTTACAAGATGGCAGTGATCAACATCAGATACAACCAAAAAGAACATCCTTGCCATGGCCTGGCACTGTGACAGCTTCGAGGAGACTAAAAAGCCAGTGCCCCCCAGCTTTGGCAATTCTCTCAAACAACAGCAGTCATCCAGAGTGAGCGCACAGTGTCAACTTACATGTCACAACAAACATGGACCTTGTGATAGTCGAACATGTCCTCCGGTGTGGGTGTGTATAGGGACCTGGCTGAAAGTGCAGTCGATTCCAAACATCAACGACAAGACAAGCGTTAGCTTGCAAGCCCGAAGACAATTTCCCTGTCAACCAGACAGGAATTCAGTTCAGATCTGATATGCACAAGCCCTCCGCCACCATCAGCCTACCTGCTTCGCGTAAACATGGTGCCATTCGTTGGAAGTGGCGATGCCTCTGCAAAGTTAGCATGCTTGCTTGCTTCACGAGCTCGCAAGCTTGCTGCTGGTTTGCTGCCAGCTGGTTGCATGAGAGCTTGACTGCTCGACAAGTTCACATGCCACGCACGAATGACCGAACAACTACGCTGGATACACCCTGCAAACCTATGCAAATCAATGTCAATCATTGCCATGCACAAAACAACATGCACAGCAAGGCAGGGGTTGCCTTCGGCACTTCAGCACTGCCCTCGGACAACAGCGCGGTATTGCAAGTATTGCAAGACCCTGCACGTGGCTCCGGAGCTGTCCCGCTCAATGTCAGAGTCGCTGAAGCTGTCCCACTATTGAAACTCACCAGCATTCACCAGCCACACTGCGACAATTGGCACTTCGAACCTTCACCATGCCTTTGCGCCCGTGTCAAACAAACTCCGACTCAGCGTTCCCAATGTTAACACCACACGCAACTGCACAAATCTAGGTACGCGGCGCCGAAAATCAGAATACTGAGAATTGCTCCATACCTGCAGGCAAATGCTTCGCGCGAAGGAGCTAGGACATGTGGCAAGATAAGATAAACGAGCTGCATTTGTTCCGCACTCAATGTGCCCACATTCATCTCATGCAAGCACAAAGTCGTCCTGCTTAATGAACCCAAGCCACCTCCTCCACGTAGCCATTGTCACAGCTCCCAACGTCCGCCACTGTCAACAGTCACCATGTGGTGTGGCTGCATGAAGAACAAAAAGAAAAGCCGCCAAGCATTGCAAACAAGAGAACCGTCACAACCAAAATCGATCTGGATTGCTGAGTTTGGTATATGATAGTTTGTAGTGCAGGTGTGTTGCGCTTGTTGTTTGGCACATGCTTGTTTGACCTCTAAACTTTTCACGTCGGGATTGCATCATGCCAACTACAGCAACACACGAATGCCTGGCACTTACATTTTTTGGGGCAGACAATGACCAGACCCAAACAAAAAACACATCATTGCAACATGTCAACCAACATATCTATCCGAACCCTTTTTTGAAAAAACTTTCGAGGGCTGCAATCGGTAGGACTAGGACGTCCAATCAAGCGGTGCCTCGAGTAGCCGGCGCTCCGCGCAATGCAAACTTTATATTGAGCAAGTTGCTCAGTACTGACAACACGCAACCCCCGCAGCCATTCTGGGCAGCCTCACAAGCCTCCCAACTCGAATCTCGCCGCACGCGTCGGTCTGCAGGCATGCTGACGCGGACAAAGCTCAAGAGCTTTAAACAAGTACACGAAAAGCAATCGAACTGAAGCAAATGAATCAAGCCTTCCCCCCCCCTCCCCCCACCCCTCACCCCCCAAAACGTGCCACAGCGAATTTCTTCCTTACGGTGGGTTTCAACGGAAATCATATTCAGGGTAGATTTGGCGGGTGGTACCCCTCCCCCCCGGATGACTTTCTTCCTTACAGTGGTAAACAAATGCGCATGTGTGTGTGTGTGTGTGATATCTTTCCGGCTTGTGTGACGCGCAGTTGGTTGACTTCCGGCGTTGAGGTTCGGGTTGTTCGGGCAAATTTTGGTACAATGTAGGGGTCTAAACTGAATGGGTGCTTTGGGCAGTTTCGAGCCTGGCGAACGTCTAATCTTGGATTCCGGCTTGACTCAAAACGGAATCTAACTGAATCAAATGAATCAAGCTCCTTTTAGCCATTTCGTGGAGCTTCTTGAGTGGCTAAAGAATATGAAAACTTTGGAATAGGGTGTCAGCCGAAAACCTTCAACGTACAAGGTTTCCAGTTCCTTATTCGTTGAAAGTATTGGAATAGGGTCTGCTTTTTAGCGATATGCTTTTAGTGGCGAGGAAACATGTAAGAGGGTTTACAGGATTAAGTTTAAAGATTAAGGTTTAAGACGAATCAATGACACCTGAAGCATGGCTACTCCTAAATACTGGTTGAAAGTGCGGGAATAGGGTTTGGGCTTGACTTGAGGTGATTCTTCCTTTAGTGGCCCGGGGAAATGCAAGGTTTGGGGACAGGGTGTCAGCAAACCATCAACGAATGAGGTTTACCCTTAGCCTTAACTTTCAAAACATGCGATGTACATTTGGGGCGAAACTGCGCGGAGCTGAACCTTAAAGACCCCTAAAACTACACCCTAAACCCGAAATAACCCTAAACCCTACAGACAAAAAAAAACCCTGAGCCCTAAACCCTAAAAACCCCGAAGCACTAAACCCTGAATAAATCCTTAAAATCCCAAAGCTCTGAACCCTCAAAACCATTTACATGGGTCTATGGCTTTCCGGATAGGGCCTATTCTGAGGGCAGAAGACTTATGGAAAATGGATAAGGGTCTATGAGGCATACGGGTGTAGATCGCATGATTCGTGCGTTTATTGCGTACAGCATTTAAGGGGGGCTCTAATATCTTCTACTTTGCCCCCTTATGATAATACTAATATTACGTGCTTTCAATCACTGAGTTTGCGAATGAAGAAGCACATTAAAAATTAGCTGTTTCCTTTTTCACTTCTCTTCACGGGGCAAATTACGGTCTTTTAACTGCCCCCTTCATTGCTCCCTTCACTCGCGATTCCACGAAAAACCCTATTAAATATATTCACTTATAACTTAGCACATTTAGTGGGTCGTTTTACTCTCTTCTTTCCCCCGGTGTTCTATTAATTAGCCATGTGAATGAAGTAAACGAGAGAAAAACCACTGTTAATATTGGGTTTCATGCTGACGGGAACATTGTTGGCCTGTTTTTACTGCCTCATTCATAGTGCCCCTTTAATAGCATTATTTTAATGCAAACTTGTGCGCGATTACAATAGTTGGTTTTAAATTAGGGGCACGAATGAACGCAGTAAAACCACCATTGACAAGTTACCGCATTAAAGGACTCATTACATCCCCCTACAATTATAATACTACGGGCCAGTTCACGTATAAAGAATGCATGAAGTGAACGTAAGGCCCGTATCCTTTTTTTGAGGCTTCTCATGTACGTCCTTTATGCCCCTACAATATAATTCATACGGGCGTTTTTCTTCTAATATGACGGGCGTTTCATGCACTGTAGTTTATAAACGGCCCGTAACTTCTATTAGCCCGTGAATGAAAAAAACTACGGGCCCCATGGGCCACGGCTCTTTCATTCATTGCAAACCGTAGTAATCTTCATCTCTGGTCTATGCATAGGGGTCTATGGCAAAAATGGAAGACCCCTATAGGGGTCTATAGGAAAGCCGGCAGGGCCTGTGCGTGGGGGTATGGCATGCAGAGAGTTGGTTGACAGCATAGGTACCTATCTAAAAACCCATAAGGTCTGTGTACGTTGGACCTTTAGGGTCTGTGTGAGGTTTTTCTGGGCAGTACTTCTAGTAGTACTCATAATGGCACAACCATTTACCCATTTCAACCATTTCAACCATTTCAAAACGATTGAAATTTTTGAAATGGTCAAAGTTTCCGCGTTAGTGCAATTAATTTGAATTTTGAATTCCATCAGTTTTTGGAAAACTGAGCTCTCGAAAATGACAGTCCCCCTGATTGGAAGCTAGCTTCCAACACACAGATCGGCCTGAAAATTGAAAACTGAACTTCCAACAAGGTAGTGGAAACCGAGCTTCCAAAATGACAAATGACAAGCCCGGAGAGTGTTGTTGATGAGAGTCCAAGTTCAACCGCACCTTAACACCTGACTGGACATTGTGAACAAAGTGTCACGCTTGCCACATGCATGACAAATGACATTCTGTCAGCTTAGAAACTTGGAGCATTCGGAAAGCACAATCAGAAGCTACACAGAAGTGGAGGCTGTCAAAAAAGCCCGATGGAAATTAGATTGTCCCGAAAGTGTTATCTGCGAGTGGTTGAGTTGGGCCTCACACAGCAACACACGGAACCATCTTGATAAGCATTGCTTCTGCCTTCGCGCAAGTCCAGTTGAGCAACATCCACCCTGAAGATTGGGGGTGGTGCCGGCTTGCGGAGGGATGCTCCGAGCCACATGGCGAATGGTTGTGAAAGAAGCTTCTGCAACCTCATCAAAGCCGGGAGGGTCAGCCCAAGCGGGCGGGGACCCGCGCCCAAGCAGCAACGCGGCAGCTGGGACCTGGGGCGAGCACCATTGTAGCGCGCAGCAACCAGCAACATTTATTGCAAGCGTTAAGGTGGCAAGCGCGAAGGTATTCAACCGGAACAGTACCAGCCAAGGACCCAAAAGATGACTCGCTTGCACGCCGATTTGAAGTGAGCAACGTCCGAGGTGGGGTCATCGTCAACGAGGACAGTTTTCCACCACGACCTCCACCTTTAAACTTCTTTATGGCCCGACATAGTGTTTCTGTAAAGCGAAGATCCCAATGGAGATACAGAAATGTGCCTCCAGATGTTCATCTTCCCTTGCACCAAATCATCCCGCAGTAGTCGTGACAATACTCCATAACCCCCTTTCGGGGTGATTTGAAGGTCATCTCCACGCTGGCTGCTGCTTTCACAAGCTGTAGTTGTGACATCATAAAAGCAGCCACCAAAAACCACTACATTGCCCAAGAGCCATGCTCATTCCTGCTCAGCAGTCGGAGACGAATCCAGCAATCTACACATGGGTAAAGTCCATGGATCCTGGAATTCTTCTGTTGCACATGCTCCCCCCTCGAGATGGTACTGGGGAAGAAGGTATGCCTCTAGCATGAACTGTGCCGGATTGCGGGCCAAGAATGCAAGCCTCGTTCGCATGGGAAGCTGTGCTGGTTATCCGATCAAGATCGTCGTGGCGTAGCATCCACCTTCCACCCCAGGTGCCTGTGTGTATAGTGTACAGCATGGACGCTGTGGCAGAGCTTGCGCAGCGCCGCAAAGCCTTTAAAAGTCCAGCTGAAGAAAGCCACCAGGAACCTCAGAAATGAGGCTTATAAGTTTTTTTGTGCGCGGGCTTGTGTTTGTGCTTGTCAGTAGCTCGTACTGGAAGCACGCTTAAAGGCGAGACGCCAAAGGCGTTTGGTGAAACGGGCGCAAGGGCTGCGGCCAGAAGACCCTTGTTTGGCTTCTGCAGCGTTCGTCGCAGCAAGGTGACCAGAATGCTGGCATGCATCGGCCCATGGTCATACTTGTTCTGCGTGTGTTCGGGCCCGACGGGCAAGCGCAGCGGGAACGTAGATCTTGCTGTGTTTGGCACAGTCTTTCGCAACCAGACTAGTCTTACCGACTTTTTCAGTAACATGGGCAGAGTCGGCGATTTCGCTGGGGTTGCTTCTCGTGTTGATGGACTTGTGATTATTTCAACATAGAGCGTTCCTGGAACATCCACAACAAATGGCTCAGAAGCTCAGTTTGTTTCTGGAGGTACTGTGGAGGTTACTTCGGCTTCCCTACCTTTTGGAATTGAGTTCTTGCCCTCTTTTTGTGTCTTAACATCCACACACCTTTCACCACCCGCACACTCCACACTTGAACAGCCAGAACCCAGCCCACACACACGCAAACACACACCACCCACTAAGCCACTTTGCACCCACATAATGAACACACACCCACACTCCATGACACACACAACTCTCTAACCCACAAACGCAGAAACCACAACACACCACACCATTCACAATGAAAAACCAAGGTAAACACACACAAACACCACTGCAAGGTCACTGTTTTTTGATTTGGTGTCACTTCTGAGACTCCATGCCTTAC